AGCAGGTGAACCTGACTGTCCTATACGGGCCCTTCTCGATCGCGTCCAGAGAGGCGAGTTCGTGGACATCGATTTCCTGCTGCCCGATACAGTTGCAGTCAGTCCAGCTCCGGCGACGTTCCAACTCCGTAGCCCCTCATATGTCGCTCTTCTGGCGCACTAGCATTTATTTGAATCCGAACCCAGAACTGCGCTTCGTAGGCTGCATGACGGTAGCACTTGAGTTGAGACCTGGACAGTGTTCATGAATGGTCTGTGTTCCACTGTTCCTCACCGCGTTTCACGAGTGCCTGTGGACGTATTTGGCCACGATCGTCGCGGCCAATCGCCAGCTTTTGCCACCTAGAAACTGGACGTTATCAATACTCAATCTGCGGACAACTGTTTCGTCCTTTGTGGACTCATCAGCGCAGCACAGAGGGAATTAAGCCGAACCTGATAGCAATGGAAAATAAAATAAATCTCCAAAGCCAGGTTATCAATATCAACTTGTGGCAACTGCGCCTCGCGGTGTACTGGAACAGCACGACCCGCCTGCCAGCAGTGCAGCTCAGTGCACTCGCCAGCATTTCCGTGCGCATTTCGTCCTACTCACCAGTACAGATCCGCATCACGTACCGCAACCGTATGCCGCTACTACGAGTACGGCGCTTGCACGCGTCAGCTCAGGCAATGCTACCTCCAGTGCCGACAGGAGCATCCCAGGGCAAAGTGTAAGGCCTCATCAGTAACTGTGTAAGCACTCAGTTTCTCACTTCTCAAAATTACTGGACTCACATCCTGATCCTATGCTCCGGAGGTATGTTGCACATGGTCGTAATTGTGGGGTTGTGGTAGGTTTCATCGGCAACCACTCAACTAACTGGGATCCATTGAATTTAACACGGTCACATGCTAACCCAGATTATATTTCTGCGCAACGATCCGTTTCTTGCAGCAGGCTTGAAACAGCTGGCCGATCCGTTTCTTGCAGCAGGCTTGAAACAGCTGGCCCGTGTTCTTCACCCCCTTTCTCGCCTCTGTGCTGTTCCGGCGTAGATGCGGTTCCTAGACGAACGGGAAGTTACACACGACACACCCTTTGTAAAGCCTGGAGGGTCGAAGTGTCAACGATTACATTCCAGCAGACCGTGTCTCTCCACAATGTCAAGATGACAATGCTGCAAACATGATTAGACAATTGCTCGCCCCGGTGTATCTTGCTAAGCTCAATGTTAAAAGTACATTCTGCCGAATTCCCGTCTGCCCGGAGGAGTGGCCCTTGTTGAACCGCTGGCAGGATCAATACTGTTATGAGAGCGTCCTGCCCTTCAGACTGTACTACGCTCCAGGCCAGCTATATGGAACTCTGTCGCATCCGCCAGTGAATGGATTGTGTGCAGGCAGTTCGCACTCCCACGCCTGTTGCATTACGGGGAATACCTCAATTAATGTTACTTCCTCAATGCATGCTCTGGACTTGTGTTACCTCGCCAGCAACTCGCTATTCTGCTCCGAGCGTTTACATACCTCGGTGTTTCTCTGGCCCCAGCAAAAGTGGAGGGTCCAGCTCAATTCCTGACGTTATTGGCATCTTCCCATTACGGGAAATACCTCGACTAACGTTTCTGTCTCCATGCATGCTCTGGACTTGTGTTAGCTCGCCAGCAACTCGCTACTCGGCGCCGTGCGTTTACATACCTCGGTGTTTCTCTGGCGTCAGCAAAAGTGCTTCCTCGATGTATGCTCTGGACCTGTGTTAGCTCGCCAGCAACTCGCTACTCGGCGCCGTGCGTTTACATACCTCGGTGTTTCTCTGGCATCAGCAAAAGTGGAGGGTCCAGCCCACGTCCTGACGTTTATCGGCGGCATCCTGGACACCCGCGCGCTCACATCAGTCTGCCGATGGACGAACTTGCCAAGCTTCACGACCTCCTACGGGCCACTCTCAACACAGCTTCAACTACCCAATGTCAACTCGAGTATCTTTTGGGAAAGCTCTCGTTTGCTACAAGAGTGATAGTCCCAGGACGCACATTGCAGATTGTGGTCACTTGCCAACTGGTACCGGCAGCCGTATTACCTGATCAAGCTCTCCGAAGAGTGCCTCAAATACCTTCGCTGATGGCCTTAGCTCCTGGAATAGTAGAGCGGCCGGTCCTTCTTCCTACACCCTAAGTGGACGCCGTCCCCCAACTTGCTGCTATTCACTGATGCAAGTGGTGCACTTGGCTGGTGCGCAAACAATTGCAACCGGGGATAGGGCAATGGACAGTCAATCAAGCAGACCAGCCAATCGCAAAGAGTGGTTTGCAATTGTGGCAGCACCTGGAAAAGCTAGCGGCACCAGCAGCAGATGCCAATCGATCGGCTTTGCAGCAACTGCGAAAATCTTGCTCATCAGTTGTGGCTATGGCCTGGCGTCATACACCGGCCACTCGTTTCGAATCAGCTGCCGGACTCGATATTCAGAGAGGCGGGAAGGTGGAAAGCCATGTCTGCCCGAGTAACATTCAGAGGCCACCAGCAGCCAAAGCATGGGTGGCTGTGGCAATGGCCTCAGCCCATGATATCGAGTTCCTGTTAGTCAATCGTTACCGAGCTTGCACTGCTTACAAATATTACAGGTAGCTGCACTTTGTGATCCGCTCTGGGAGTGCCGATTTATGGAATATATGCTCTCAACTGGTTATGCATCTCTATATATCTAGCATTTGGCGGCTCTATTCAGAGTCATTGGCGGCTCCATGCGGAGGCATTGGCGGCTCCATGCGGAGTCATTCGGCGGCTCCATGCGGAGTAATTGGCAGCTCCATGCGGAGTAATTCGGCGGCTCCATGCGGAGTCATTCGCTGGCTCCATGCGGAGTCAATTGCCGGCTCCATGCGGAGTCATTCGCCGGCTCCATGCGGAGTCATTCGCCGGCTCCATGCGGAGTCATTTGCCGGCTCCATGCGGAGTCATTCGCCTGCTCCATGCGGAGTCATTTGCCGGCTCCATGCGGAGTCATTTGCCGGCTCCATGCGGAGTCATTTGCCGGCTCCATGCGGAGTCATTCGCCTGCTCCAAGCGGAGTCATTTGCTGGCTCAGCTGCGAGCCATTATACCAGTTGCTCGAATCGGCACTCCCAGCTTAATGCAAAACTCGGTTGCTCTGTTGTGAGGTGGGGGGATGCTAAATGAGCGTTAGCATGCTAACGCGAGTTAGCAGCCAGCCCAGCGAGCTGGCCCAACCTGCACGCATGCGCGAGTCACGTGGGCACGCGCCCTTCAATATCCTGTACAATGTCTCTTTCATGTCATTGCTGTTTGGACTTTCGAGCGTGCAACTTGCGGAACAGGTGTTCCCGAAACAATTTCCTTCCCACCCTCCCACCCACTAGCTCAACTCATGTTTCTGGCGCACACATGACGGTATCTGTATAGTCCATGAGAATATAATTATGCTCTCAACTGGTTATGCATCTCTATATATCTAGCATTTGGCGGCTCTATTCAGAGTCATTGGCGGCTCCATGCGGAGGCATTGGCGGCTCCATGCGGAGTCATTCGGCGGCTCCATGCGGAGTAATTGGCAGCTCCATGCGGAGTAATTCGGCGGCTCCATGCGGAGTCATTCGCTGGCTCCATGCGGAGTCAATTGCCGGCTCCATGCGGAGTCATTCGCCGGCTCCATGCGGAGTCATTCGCCGGCTCCATGCGGAGTCATTTGCCGGCTCCATGCGGAGTCATTCGCCTGCTCCATGCGGAGTCATTTGCCGGCTCCATGCGGAGTCATTTGCCGGCTCCATGCGGAGTCATTTGCCGGCTCCATGCGGAGTCATTCGCCTGCTCCAAGCGGAGTCATTTGCTGGCTCAGCTGCGAGCCATTATACCAGTTGCTCGAATCGGCACTCCCAGCTTAATGCAAAACTCGGTTGCTCTGTTGTGAGGTGGGGGGATGCTAATGAAGCTTTTATCAGATCCACTCTGATTTAGCCACTCACACTAGTAGCAAGTATTACCTTCACTGGGGGCAGGGGTAACTGCAGTTGGATCCCGGGACGGATACCCTGATACCGTCAATCCTTTTTCTGAACCTTGTCCTCACCCACTTACTGAGGTGTGGTGAGCCCATAAGTCGGATCATTTTCAAGTCCATCCAGCGTTTTGGGGATTTCAGGGGTGTCGGCCGTTGGGCGGTTCAATAACCAATTGAGTCATCTTTCCAAGATTCCTTTTGAGTCTCTCTCCCCTCTCCCGGGGGGACTCACGTGACCAGTTTTGGCAGTGAGCAACAAGTACAGTACAGTACAGTGTGTGTGTGTGTATGTGTGTGTGTGTGTGTGTGTATGTGTGTATGTGTATGTATGTGTGTGTGTGTGTGTGTGTGTGTGTGTGTATGTATGTGTGTGTATGTGTGTGTGTGTGTGTGTGTGTGTGTGTGTGTGTGTGTGTGTGTGTGTGTGTGTATGTGTGTGTGTATGTATGTGTGTGTGTGTGTGTGTGTGTGTGTGTGTGTGTGTGTGTGTGTATGTGTGTGTGTGTGTGTATGCTTAAGTTATATCTGCCTGTATGTGTTTACAGTTTTGTGGTGGTGGCTGAACTGTACACGTGAACCGTCTTGTTGTTGTTCCAGCACTCTCTAAGGAAGATGAAGCAGGCATTCAACAAAGAGTTCGATGCACTTCTCCTGCAGAAGGAATCAGAGGTGGCACGCACCCAGGAGCGCAATGTGCGCATGGCGAAAATCATCCATGATTTGGAGCTACACGAGAAGTTGTTCGAGCCGAAGATGAGTGTCGACGAACAACCAGAGCGTCTTCTGAAAATCGAAGACTCCGAGGTGAGGTCTCTTTGACGAAATGTAGGAGAGTTTTGGTTGCAAGGCTATAGTGAACATGACTTGTGCAGTTTGAACTTTGGCAAGGCTATAGTGAACATGACTTGTGCAGTTTGAACTTTGGCTATTTTTAAGTATTATTCTAATACTAGTGTAGGACTGTAGTGAAATTACGTGGCCTGTGTCTTTGACAGTTTGTCTACTATGGGGTTGGTATGATAACAGCATACAGCGTAGATAGTTTGCATGCCTCTCGTGGCACACACTCAGAGAACCTCAGGCTATGGATGAGTTTGGCATTAGCCACTCTCGTGCCATCATCCGTGTTCTCTTCGGCTTTCTGTCGCACGATACCTGTAGATCAATGCCCAGAAGTGGATTTCTCCGGAGGAACGTGAACGCTTGGAGGAGCAGGCACGCCTGGATGAGGCTAGGCGCCTCGCCGAAATGGTGAGTTTATCAGGTCAATAGGTCAAATGCGGAGGTTACCATGGAGCCTGCCCCCCTCCCCCTCACTCTCCGGCATGTGTAAGTACTTGCACAACTGGGCTTTTATATAGCTTCTATACCCAAATTTGCAAAAAGTATTGCAGGTGCAACCAGAAGTGCAGTTAAAAAATAGAAAAAAATCATCTTGCAAAAAATATTGATGTTTCCACCCGGGATCGAACCGGGGACCTTTCGCGTGTTAGGCGAACGTGATAACCGCTACACTATGGAAACAGCTATGAATGCTCTGGTCTGCTTGGGCCTATGAGCGCAAGCCCCTTTCCCGGAGAGTGCAACAAGGAACTACCTTGTATTTCTTGACGCTTTATTATCGGAGATATACCAGGATGTCGGCAATCAGAGCTACCTTGGCCAGCCAGCCCTGATTTTGTAGTAGGTGTTAACATTGTGTAGTGTTGCAACACTGCCTGCTAAGTGCCATATGCAGGTCATGTTGGTGTGGACAAGATTGCCGTTACTGCATGTGTGCCACTACAGTAAGATCGGGCGCCGAAGAACGCAGGGGCTCGAGCGCAGCCTAGGAAAGTTCTTAAATTTTTGATTCTAGCCAGACCGTTCTTACACGCGCGCGGAGAGTCGAGTGACGTCATGACGTTTGTCATGTACATGTACATGACTGTACATGTAGTGCAATGTAGTACTTCTAAACTAGTGGGTGTCGTAAATGGGAATGACTGTACCGTAAAGTACCGTTGATCTGCCCCCTCTCTAATTCCCGCCCCCTGTCGATTTTCTCCTTGTGAAGCGACTTCGGCGTATACAACGAAATACGATGTTGAACCGACGCATGCACTGCTGTACACAATACTTGCCAATCCAGGATCAAAATGTGCACAATCCAGCACATTGAGTCTGATCCTCTACGTTGTTGTACATCGTACTGCACTTGACAGCCTTGATCTAATTCCCGCCCCCTGCCGAAAACCCAGCTGGGAAGCGACATGGCGTGGGGGCGGATCAACGGTACTTTACGGTACATGTAGCAGTTACTGACACGTGTACATGACATGTACTCACCTCCCGTACATGTACAATGTAGATCTACGTCCAATGTAGATCTAGTGTTCTTAAATCTGATAATTCTAGCCTGGACTGTTCTTAAATTTTGCCGGTTTTCCAGCCTGGGCGTTCTTCGGCGAGGTGTTCTTCGGCGCCCGATCTTACTGTATCCACTGTGCTGTGTGTGTGTGTGTGTGTGTGTGTCCATATATCACTGTGCTGTGTGTGTGTGTGTGTGTGTGTGTGTGTGTCCATATATCACTGTGCTGCGTATATGTATGTGTATGTGTTCACGTGTATCTATTCTGCAGGGTGACAGACCCAGGGAGCGTGCTCTTGATCAGATGATGAAAGGTCAGCTGGAAATTGATGCAGAAGAGGAGCTGTACAAGGTGAGGTTCTCACACCCAGTCAGGTTCACACGCCCGGGCAGGTTCTCACACCCAGTCAGGTTCTCACACCCAGTCAGGTTCTCACGCCCAGTCAGGTTCTCACACCCAGTCAGGTCCTCATGCTCAGTCAGGTCCTCACACCCAGTCAGGTTCTCACGCCCACTCAGGTTCTCACACCCAGTCAGGTTCTCACACCCAGTCATAGACTGACAGCAGTGCATGTCTAGTATCAACATAACATCACACATCACACGCCATGCTGCCACACTGCCGACTCCTGCCCCCGAGGTATTACTTCGATACTACTATTACGAGGTTTATATTTGAGCCTTCTACCATGACTTGCAAAATGGCAACTGCTTGGATTCCTTTTTTCCCACGTGTGCACTGCTCACAAGTGAACAGATGTGACTGCTAGTGCACTGATTTCTTGTCGTGTACAAGTAGTCACTGTAACATTCCGGTCCCACGGCTGTCACGGCTCTGCTCTATCAAGTACTGAGTAGCATACTAGTAGTTACAACTCGAATTTAAATGCCACTTCAGACTTGTTTGCTGTGTTCGTTGCATGCACGCAGGACATTCCAGCGCCGGAGTTCATGGAGGCGAAGATGAAAGAGTTGTGGACGGAGGATGAGCGCAAAGTAGCCAAAGACTACACGACCGCCGTCGCCAATCTGGAAGAGGAGAGAACTAAGCACAAGAAGGTAATCGGATCGAGTTTGATTTTTAGCACCTAATTGAATTTAGAAATGGGATAAGAGCACAGAAGCGACTCAATAGTTCATGGAGTGAAAAAGCCTTTCTGCTCCCGAGTGGGAGGAAATTACTTTTGCACTTTTCCGATTTGATTACACTTGCCTTCATGTTCACACCTTTAGGCTCTGGAAGCTGAGTTCAAGAAGCTTCAGTCCAGCATTGCCGAAGTTGTTTCGCTATTTGATGACAAGCTGAAGAAGCTGCACGAGAACAAGATTGAGAGACAGACGGCAATCTGTCAGGTACAGTGTTTGTGTGTTTGTATGTGTGTACGTATGTATGTATGTATGTATGTGTGCTGGTGTTGTGCGCATGTGTGCGTGCGTGCGTGTGTGTGTGTGTGTGTGTGTGTACGTATGTACATGCGTGCCTACCTGGCACAGATGCTTGTATGGTGAATCTTCTCAATGCTGTGTAACAGTAGATGTTCCAATGTCATCAAGTTTGTGCAAGTCCGCATACTTGAAAAGTGACATAGAGTTTGCACGAGGAGTACTGTAAGCAGGAGGACTGTTTGACGAAGCACAACGCCAGTGTCTATAGCCAATACCATCAGTACTTCTCATACAAGAAGTTATTGCCGGGAACAGATTCCCACGGCAATCTGCTTCCGCGTTTCTGGGGACTCCGGAACAGAAGCAGACTAACCGTAGTGTAAATGCATGTACATGTATGCTTGGCTCTGGTGTGCACAGGAGGAGATGAAAGTGGCTCGTCTGACAGCCTGGCTACTGACTGAAGATGAGCTGTGCCAGGAGGAGATAGGCATGCTAACCGAAGTGGAGACACTGAAGGGAACCAAGGTGGGTGGTGATTGTTTGTTTGAAGTATTCTATTCTCACGACAGCCTGTGGCCAATAAGAGAAGTTGTCGAAGCTGGTGTAGATTGTTCAAGCAGGTGTTGACACTCAAAGACGTCGTCAGTTACTTAGCATCATCACTAGTTACGTGTACAGCGAAACAAAGAAAAGAAAGAATAAAGATGAGAAAAGCCACACAGATACAGATGTGCACGCGCATGTGTGTGTGTGTGTGTGTGTGTGTGTGTGTGTGTGTGTGTGTGTGTGTGTGTGTGTGTGTGTGTGTGTGTGTCCAAGGGTTCTTCTTGGAAGGTTCTCATTGCATGGTTGTGAGGAGGTCATATCATGTGATGTGGATATGGTGTCAGAATGTTTATCTAGTCTCTGGTTACATTGACTTTCAAATCAGCTTATAATCGCTCGATGTGTGTGTGTGTGTGCGCACGTGCGCGTGTGTGTGCGTGTACATGGTGTGTGTGTTTTGTGTGTGTGTGTGTGTGTGTGTGTGTGTGTGTGTGTGTGTGTGTGTGTGTGTGTGTGTGTGTGTGTGTGTGTGTGTGTGTGTGTGTGTGTGTGTGTGTGTGTGTGTGTGTGTGTGTGTGTGTGTGTGTGTGTGTGTGTGTGTGTGTGTGTGTGTGTGTGTGTGTGTGTGTGTGTGTGTGTGTGTGTGTGTGTGTGTGCTCACACACACACACACACACACACAGCACAAGTTGCTATGGCTTCTGCTGTAGCATCGCTATCATCGCCTCCGGCGATGGGCGTCCAATGGTCCAATGGTGTGTGTGCTACGTATATGGTGTGGGTGTGATGTGTATGGCGTGCATGCATGCAATGTGTTACAGTCGGAGGTGATGAAGATCATGTCAAAAGTTCAGGTGGACCTCTCCAAAGCGGGAGAAGAATTGGATCAGCTAATCTTGGAGGATAAGGTGAGATTGCAGTGAATAGAGATTGTGCCTGACTTCAATGCGACCTACGCATGCCACTACGGGTAGATCACCTCTAGCGTTCTACCTACTACTTCTAAACTGCTGTAGTTGTTATACTTGTGTGTTTTCTGGGTCTAGTTTCTGAGGCTAGGAGGCCACAGACAGTATTGTCCATTCTGATACCGTGCTTTTAACTGGTAGTCTCACCTCATGACCGGCTTGACTGGACGACTGGGTGCTCTGGTGGTACTAGTATTGACAAGGACACTTCAAGTTCAAAGGACATAGCATGAGCCACATTGCAACCTCTGTTTGTGTGTGTGTGTGTGTGTGTGTGTGTGTGTGTGTGTGTGTGTGTGTGTGTGTGTGTGTGTGTGTGGACAATTTACTTTGATATTGTCACTGCTGCGTCGGCCGTGGTCCACCACTCGCAGTGGAGTAGCTGTCCCTCGAGTGCTGTGAAGAATCCAAGCTCGAAGAATGCAGTGGTGGGAATTGCGGATTGGCTGGTGGAGTGCTGGAACAACTCGTTGTTTTCAGTGGAGTGGACGAGCGAGTGCGGAGAGGAAGGTCCCAATGGCGGAATGGTGGGAATTGAAACTTCAATCTTTCGTCGTCATGAGTGCACTGGTCAAGCGTTGTGGAAGTCTGTCGGATTTGTGAGGCCTTGCCCTGCCGCTTACATCGTCAACGTGGAAGAACTGCTAGTGGAGTCCTGGTGGGATTTCGGATGCCCACACTCCTTTTGCTTGGTGGATTCTTTCGTGGACAGTGTTTTTTCGTGACGTGAAATTTTGAATTTTTTTTCCTTCCTGTTCATTTTCAGTCGTTGGCACTGTAGCTGTCAGGTTGTTGTTACAGTACAGCAGTCGTCCGTTCTGCTCCATTGTTTCATCTGTTTTGCCAGTTCTGCTAGCTGATTCTATTTATTTGCCACTGCCCCTCATAGTGCTCATGCTTGGGTGGAGGGCGGCGTGACCCGTTTAGGGTAGCTGTATCATAGTAGTAGTAGTAGTGTGTGTGTGTGTGTGTGTGTGTGTGTGTGTGTGTGTGTGTGTGTGTGTGTGTGTGTGTGTGTGTGCGTGTATGCGCGTGCGTGCGCGCGCGCGCGCGTGTGTGTGTGTGTGTGTGTGTGTGTGTGTGTGTGTGTGTGTGCGTGCGTGCTACTGTATCCATGCTAAACGGCAGGCACTGGAACGTAACTTCAAACGTGACTTTGGCGATCGTGAAGGTGTTTATGATCTTCTAAACAAAGCGTTCCGTCGGCGCCCAAGGTACTGGAAGCGACGTGCAGTTACTAGTACTACTACTAGTAGTAGTAGTAGTAGTAGTGATACTTTAATTAAAAACCCTATAGAGGTTATGCGAATGATGTCATGGGGTGAGTCAGCAGATCCGCTTATGGGCACTGTGTATATGCAGTGTGAGTGGCCAGTGCAAGTGCAGCGCTGTGTGCCAACGCATCTCAACTGATGATGTCATCGCATAACCTCTGTGTTGCTGTCGTTGGAAATGAAGACGGGTGCCGAAATATCCAGCAGAGCAAAAAGCATTGGATTGCTTTTCAACCAAGGTCTCATTGAAATCTCTCTATCATGTGTGTGAAGTGATGGCTGCTTCTTGCTTGGGTGAATTCTTTCTTGTATTTTCGGATTAGCCTCGAGGCCAGCGAGAGGAACAAAACATGCCAAGCCTTCCTTAGCGAAGCACTTCAATTTCTGTAAGGAAAACCATGATGGCTTGATTTAGGTCTGATTTTGGACATAGCCAATTTGGCTACTTCCTCCGAAAACAAAAAAAAACTAAACACATGAGTCACTGTGGGTAACGATTGTGCAGAAGGTTTCCCAGCTATATGTTGCTAAGGAAAGAACGCCGTATCTTGTGCTTCCATTTGTCATACAACACACAACGATGGCACAACCAAGTCCTTTTCTGTGCTTCCATTCGTGAACAGACAATTGCGGAGGGCAGCAACACAGTACAGTGTTCCCGGTGGTGCTGGAAATCCTACAGCACCGCCGACTGTGGGCAGTCAGCCAGCGGCAATGACCACGTCGCAGATCAAGCAGGAAATGTCTGAGCTGGACTCCATTGATAGCTGCCCAGACGGTGTTGATGCGCCCACCTGGAGTCAGCTTGTGGCTGCCAGGCGCAGAAAGATGGAGTCTGAGAAAACAGTAAGTAACCGACTGGCTAACTCGGCATTGAACTCATACTACGCTACAAGCTGCTGTGCCTCCTTTCAACATTCACAGCTGTATGGCTCAAGATCCGTTTCAAGCGTGTCCCTCAAGTATCACTGCCTTCACATGGGTGACAGAATGCCTTCCGACGCTCCTGTGTGTTCGTGTGTGTGTTCGTGTGTCATGTGCTCTATACAGGTACGCCAGATGAACCATCGCATTGCGGAAATGACAACGTTCATCAATGAGCGAGCAAAAGAGGAGAGCACAATCGTTGGCTCACTGACTGCCCTAGCACAGAAACTAGCCGAGTAAGGATCACCAGGTTCGATGGAAATGCTTCTTTGGGTCATTGTACACGCTGAAGTTTTAAAACTGATATTGTAAAAAACACTGCTGCGCAAGGCATGCATGCAACTCTAAGACGATTGTGCAATCCAGTTGCATTGTCATTGCGGGAACATTACCAATAGTTTGTGTGCAAGAAGCATCCGCATGTGTTCCAGTTGTGAGGTAGTGATGAAGACACAGCGTACCTTCATCATCACTGCTTACCAGTGATCCGTCTTCATCAATATCCACACTGCAACAACAACGACGAGGATGACGATGACGGCAGCAGCAGCAGCAATAGCAACCCGCCATATAGTGATCACCGAGACCTTTAGACTGGGTCCACATCAGCTGCATTGCTCAATTCATGATGGTAGGAAGTTGATCAGGAATGTTTGTGCTACTTGACAAGTACACTGTATATTTTTGTTTCAATGCCGCAGATTGAGGAAGGAAAGAGAACGGTTCTACCTCAATCTTCCAATACAGTTGCTCATGAAGCAAGGGCAGGTAAGCACAACACTGACCCGACACTGACCCAGTATTGACCCAACCCTGACCCGGTACTGACCCAACCCTGACCCAACCCTGACCCAGCACTGACCCAGTACGGACCGAGCACTGACCTGGCACTGACCCAGCACTGATCACTGAGTAAATGCGTAACTACACCGTATTAGCCTGAGTGATTACTGAAGTAACTAGTTGTTTGCATACGTGTAAGGGTGAGCCGTGTAAGGGTGAGCCGTGTAAGGCTTCCCTTGTGTGATGCAGTCACACTGCTGCTGAAGCTGGCTTGCTCTCCTTGAGTTTGTTAAGCTGTGCGTTAGTCTGATCTAGCTGAGACTGAACCTGGTCCTTGTTTCACTCTGTTTGTCCTTGGTGGCTTTATCCAGAGCTTGCTTTGTACTGTCAAGGGTCGTCGCAAGACTTGACCTGTGTGTGCATCGCATTTTTTCTACTATTTTTTTAGGTTGAAGTCAACCCAGGGACATTCATAACGGATTACCGCAGCAGTGTGTTGATTGACCAGACCACTATCAACAAGTACAATGCTGACATCAAGGTATGCAGCGGGGCACTACCCAGCTTAATCTCCCTGTGATGCTAGTCCCACAGATCTCACTGCACGCCATTATATACTCTCAGCCATTTTTGGTGTGAATGTTTATCATGTACCAGTTGTGCTATACACAGTGTGCATGTAGGCTGTGTGGCTTGAATAGAGTAGCAATGTGTGTTGGTGGTCCATGGAAGTGAAGTGTGCACTTTTCTATCCAGGTATACCGTCAGGCATAATGTCAGGCAGAAGTGATGGAGTGACGTTCTTAGTTACATTTTCCCGGCACGCTGGCCGTGCATCCAGTCTGGACTAACTCATCAACACCTTGGCTCTGTGTATACTGCACTCATCAATACCTTGGCTCTGTGTATACTGCACGCATCAACACCTTGACTCTGTGTATACTGCACTGTATGCTTGCAGGCTCTAGGAACGGCAAAGGTGTCCACTATGTTGAGTGGCATTGAAGGCAAGAAAGGCATCTATGTACTGGAATGGTATGTCACCACTTGTGCTTACACTGCACTAGTCTATAGCTACTCTTACTCATTAGAATCATGGCGTCTTCTGCAGAGTGTTCAGTACCCAGCGCCGGAAGTGTGTCCTAATATACCGGTACTTCATTTTTTTTTAAGTAGAAGGCAGATATACTAGTTTTCGTTACTCTGTATTTCTTGATACTAGCCAATCAACCGAGTTGTCTGATGATTGGCCGGTTTCATGAAACAGAGACGGTGAACACCATACCTACATGTACGCGTACATCTGATCCACCTTCCACAATGTACCTTGTGTAGTTACTCATGAACACATGGATACAATACATCATGCATTCATGTGAATATATGATGGCTGTATACTGTAACCGAAAAGTTCTACGACCAAAAAGTTAAACGTTTTTGTAATTTTTTTGGCATGATAACGTGCAGCAAGGTTAACGATGGCTACCTGGCCACCCATCTGTATGCGCATCTTTACACAGACATCACAAACCGGGTTCGCGAGAACGTTTCTTCAAATAACGAAAAAATTGGTCGTTAAAACGTTAGACTTTCCGGTTTTACAGTACTGTGTGTTTGCACAATCTTCACTCGGCTTCTCTTTACTCTTCTCTTTACTTACTTCACAATCTTCACTCTTCTCTTTACTCTTCTCTTCACTTACTTCACAATCTTCACTCTTCTCTTCACTTACTTCTGTCAGCTACCCCCACAACCATAAGTAGAGCTGCAGTGGTGTCTTCAACTTCAAGCTACCCCCACAGTCAGATTCCTCTGCATGCCCAGCACCATGTTTTCTGAATGGCCGAATGGTAGTTGAGGCTAGTGATTGATTGTGACTACTAGTACACTTTTTTGTGATGTGCCGTAACAGGGAACACCGGAAGATGAGAATGCAGATCGAAGATGCGGATCGTAAGATACAGATCGTCAATGGCCTACGGGTTACGAAAGAACTACAAAAGGTAGGAGTCCTTGTGAGAAAAGCTAGAATTCGTTTTTCGTAGTTGGCCAGCACCACGGTAACGGGTGAGATGTAAGTACAGAAAGTTAGAGGCATAATTACAGTAGAACGCCGATTATTCAGACGTCAACTTTCTGGGCGATCGATTAATCGCCTGGTCGGTCTGGATCGTAGCAGCTTTTTCGAGGTTTTTGCTGATTTCCCCACTCGGAGCACCGTTCAAGCGATTCACAAGATGTATTGCAACAGGTTCCGTTGGAGTCAACATGTATAACGATAGTGTCATTTTAGGAGCTGAAGTGTGCCTAGGTTCCTGTTGTACTCTTTGGCAGTACAACAGGGACTAGGCGAATGATGAAAACATGCGGGAATGTGCATGGTTTAGATAGATGTGTGACTGCTCCCTTTTCCGAACAATCTTCTCATCCTAACCCTCTGGAGATATCCCGCACCCTGAGGGGTGCGGATAATCGGGAATCTACTATTATAGCGATGACTTGAGAGGTGTGTGGGGGGGGGGGGGGGGAGCGGAGATGTTGTATATTCCAGTTTTTAAAGAGCCTGCCAACTGGAGACTTGTAAAAAATGCGGGGTGGCTTACAACTTGCTTGTTTCTTGCTCATGCGTATTATTATGTACATGGTCATTTAGTCGAGACTGTTATCTCTGAGGCGACCATTGCATGGTGAATAGCAGAATATGCATGAGTGGTGTGCCTGTGTATGTGCAAGGGCTCCCTTTCGGCCGCTAGTAAGCAGCCAGATAACCGTGACTGACTGAATGGTTTTGTTCTTGTTCCGGTGGTGTGTGTGTGTGTGTACTCTCTGCTCTCCGCTCTTAGCACTTTCTTGCTGACAATGTCTTGGTCGGCCAACACGACAATATTGAGCGGATGGAAGGTGCCCTGGGCCGAACTGGCGAGGTAAGACAGTGCCAGCGTATCAACTTTCAAGTCATAGTAAAAGTGTTTTTTCTAGCACTATCGATGGCCTATGGCATGGTGCCAGAGACAATTTCCGTATACAACCAACTATACACACAAACTGCTGAACAACCCCATTTAGTGCAATACCAAGGAAATACTTTGTCCATTCACAATGCCTGTGTTGTTGTTGTTGTTATTGTTGTTGTTACACATGGCTGTTTGCTGCCTGGTCCAGCTCCACAAACATCACCTGGGTCGCTTGAAGAAGGTCCTCTGGAATATCAAGCAGAAGACGGCGAGTCGCCAGCAGGAGAACTCCGAGATGGATGAAGAGGTCAACAAGCGCTTCAGTTCGGTGATGGACCGCGTGCACCTTGAGGCTACATTTGGTAAGGCTTGCTGGCGTGGTAGTTGATTTTTGATTGCAGACAAGTACTTCCAGAGTATAATCATACTGTTTTTCAAATACCGAGTGCAGTGCTGAAGGATAATTTTGTTCACCGCTTAGAATTGTAGATACGGATGCTGCTGCACACATGCTAACTTTGTGTCTGGAGTCCATACAAGCCAGTGCTGTATGGTGTCTGCAGCAGTGCAGTGTGTGCAGCACTGAGTGACGTCAGACACACGTAACATAGTCAAATACCCCTACCGCCAGCGCAGTGCACGTCTGTACGCACCAGAGCTACAGGTGCATGTATGTGTGCTCCCGGCCTGAACTCCATATGCACACAGCATGGGAACCTGGCCCAGTGGCGTAACTGCGCTTGATTGCGGCCGATTTCCTCCGTGCTGCAGGATGTCTCTGCACCACCTTATTAGAGACTGGACCCTTTTAGATCTGCACCATGTAAAATTGTGAATGTGTATAGGCAGTCACACGGTACGAACGTGGAGCAAGGAAAGGCCTACGTATAGCAGGGATTGGGTGTGAGTGACTTAGTGTACACTGGTGAGGACATTTGGCAGAGAAAAAACATGCGGTTTGAAGCTCTGGAAAATAATTTGTGTACAGTTGAACATCGATTATCCGCACATCGACTATCCGACCATTCGATTTTCCGTAACAGTTTTTTTGGGCGCACGTGCCGTAGGGTACGCACTGTGCATGTAGTGAGCCATTCAAAAAATACGAAAATTTTGAAAAGTAAAAAAGTCGTACATGTACATGTACATGTTTCTTATCCGGAACATTTGCCTTATCTGAACACCGCCTGACAGTTGTCTGCCCAGAGGTGATCGGATAATCGATGTTCAACTGTACTTGTTATTGCAGACTCTGATGACAAGACCAGGAACCGTCAGCAAGCACAGAGAATGAACGACGTAGTCAAGCGCTCGCGGGCAGTGACAATGGCCAAGCAGCAAGCGGAGGAGATTGCTGCACTGCGCGCCGACTTGGACACGTGGAGAATGAAGATGTTCCCGGCCCTTCCAGGCAGGCCAGCAAGGTCATAATGTGAGCTTCTCGTGCAGTGGTACCTTGTGGAACTGTTGGCGAAACAAATAGCCAGACTGGAGCTGCAGCTGTACAACGCCACTGTCGTGATAGCGTCCTGTGCCCTTGACTTTCATGCATGATGAGTTGTTCATGAAACCAATATGCTATAACAAGTAGATATCATAGAGTATGACTGCCACTACGTTAGCAGAACCCAGCCGCCAGGGTCTCAGCTTCCAGGGTCTCATCTGCCAGGGTCTCTTGAACAAGAACACATCATTGTTATTATAGGGATGTGCACTGCTCATTCGTATGGATGCCATTGTTGGTGCTCTGTTCTCCATGGGATGTCACGGTTACTTTGCCTCTGCTGCTGCTGCTAAGAGGTATTAAATGAAACGCAATATAGTTTAAAAATCATTTGTTCATTAATTATAGGTATTTGTGTACGCAAGCAGCTTTGCAGTATGTGTATATGAGGAGAGTGTCCGTGCAAGTATGATCACTCCACAGTTCTTGTTACACATGACTGGGTATGCTATGGCCCTCTTGAAAAGTTATCATTTCTCCTTGCTTTAGACCAGTCTCTCATTATGGCATGTTTTGCTGAAGAATGGTGAGAAAACTGAGGACTATTAAAGGAACACTTGTGTTGTGTTACAATAGGCTCGTAGCATAGTTGTGGCCCCGTGGCACTGAGCTGGGAGATGCTGTGATAACTGCCCAGGGGCTCGGTGATCATGGCGATGACTCATGAGTACTACAGCCAGGTGGACTGAATGGAACCATCTCATATTCTCCCTCTCTGAGAGAGTTTGGAGAAAGTTAGCCGCCGTGTGGCCACTGATGCACGCATAACCCAATGGGCCATAATGTTATGCCGTGCACGGCGTGTCCTCCACGATGTGCACGGCTTGTCCTCCACGATGTGCAGTCATACAAGTAGTTACAACTGTATCCACACATCTCCTCGTAGCCACGTAGCCAAGACAAGAGAATGTGGAGAGTTTGATCTAAATAAACTTAATTCACGCCTCCCCACTGTTGGCCCTCATGTTTTAATGATGGTACATCGTAGATCTACCGGGGAGATATCCTCCCTCCTGATCGTACATACATCATCATCGCGTGCAAGCTAGGCGTGCAGTGGAAGCGTGTTTGTAGATTCATTCTCATTGTTGTAGACCTACCATGAAAAAGCCTTGTTGAGTTTGTAGCTCCCTCAGGCGGTTTCCAAGTCTTACTTAGATAACAGATGGTCAGTCGACGTCAACGCAATGCGCGCATGCACACTGTTTTCTATCACTGCTCAGACCTTTATCTCTCCTCCTCCTGCTTCATCATGTGCGGGCGTAGGGCGATGCTAGTAGTAGGCAGAAACTGTCTTGCAGCAGACGCCGTGGCCAGCCTGTTTACGGAACCGATGTGCACGTGTGTGACCACAGACACAGGTCAGCTGAGTGCCTTATGCCTTGCCACCACCTGTCACGATTCGCCCGCTAGCATAATGATTGTGTACTTTGACTTTGTACATCATTACATCATTACATGGCTTGCATGGCTTGCCACAAGGGGGACTTTTTCTGCAGTCGTCGAATAGAATGCAGGATGCTTGTTGCTGACGATTGCATGAGCGAGGACCGCATGGATTTCCTTACGCAACAGACCGGTGATGTGGTGCCAATAGCTGCTGTGTTCCGGCACAAACATCCGGAATGCGAGCCCATCAACAGTATTTTAAATTATCGTTTCGCCCGGGACCGGGACCGGGTAGGTCCGAAGCTGTGGCAGTGTGCGCCTGATACAGTGAAGTTGTTGTTTTTAACGGCGAGTGAAGTTCAGTGAATCGCATGGCTACACTAAAGCAACTACTGCTGTATGACTATACAATCATGTACATGCTCTCCCAGACCTGACGAGAAATCATAGAAAACAGCTGAGCAATGAGTTCCAGGGGCGTATCTTGGACACAAGTCAGAATGTCATGTGCGCAACGAACAACGAACACACTACACCTACAAAGCTTCTTTTCTTAGTTTTAAATAGGCTTTCTTTGTACTCTTGAGTCTTGTACTCATTCGCGAATCATGAAATTTCTGTGAGTACGAGATCCCCTCGACAGGCCTAGACTAGGCTAGAGCCTCTGGCCCGTCTGCGTACTGTAATCTTTGAAATACAATAAAATAATACAAAATACTAGTAAGTCATGACTTGTATTGTAGTCGTGATTCATACCTGTATGACGCTGTGCACCGCGCAGTTTCCCGCCATATGCGCCAACCATGTACCAATGCTCTCACTTTTAGTCGTTGATGAATGACAGACCGTCATGCACGCGCAGCATCGGCGCCCAGTCGGTGATAATCACGCGATGGGCTCAGCGGCTGGGCGGCCTTCGCGCTTCTCCCAAACAAGTAAGGACGGTAAGGTAGAAATTCCCCTGGCGTGTGGTATGCGGCATGGCGCAATGCCCATTGGCATTACTCGTGCAGTCGTGGGTATGAATCTACGACCTACATGTACATCAAGGTAGTGTCGAATTCACTCTTTACTCACTTCAGACTCAGTAGTTTAGTGTAGGGGATATCCCTAGCCAGACTTGACCATGGCTACAGTGTAGTATAATGTCTACTAAGTACTATGAACACGACGATAGTGAACGGACGACTCACAATGGTCACATGCACCTATCCGCTCCTGAAAGGGTTTAGGGGAGAGTGTTGGACTTGACATATGCCATAAGACTCAGCTGATCACGGGTGTCAAAGGTCTTGGACCATCCCATATTCATAGGTGACATGTGCTAGCCACAAGCCAGTACTCTGCAACCTAACACTGCACACAGTCAGTGTTCGCCGAGTACACAATACACGCACAACGTAGCCTTCCATGTAACCTTGCTTATCTCGCATACCGAGGTGCATGACTTGTTCATCATCATCCCCATTTCTGCACACAGTCCGGTGTTTATCGCAACGATATGTGCGCTGTGTTTGATAACACAAGCCTTATCCTTGGTGCATACTCGTACTCCTGACCGATCACCTGAGGGCATATGGCGAGTACAAGGGACGATATCCACTTGTCAACGTGCGGTCAGTGCAGGGCAAAGTACGAGTCTCCGGTTATTCGGCCTAGCTAAGCCTAGGTATAGTCGTGAGGTGGCAGTGTGTACCACTGTACCGGTCAATTCCCCTACAACCCCTGCCATACGGTCATAATTCGTGGGCCGGACAAGCTAAGTCTAGGAGATGTTACTGCGGGGTCTGCATTGCCCAGGGATCCGACATTGTAGCAACACACCTGCTCGCCAGGCTCCCAGGCTGCGAGCTGGGCTGATGCACGAAGAATAAAAGCGGCTGCGCAGCCAGGAGGCTCGTCATTACTACGTTGATCAAAACCGGGACTTGGCTCGAGAGCAGGTGCTGGTCAAGATGAAGGTCCTTGCAGTTCTAGCGCTGTTCGTGGTCGCCGCGGCGGCCATGGTCAACTTTGACCTTGATGTTAACGACTTCGTCAACGGTTTTGCGGATGAGATGCAAGCCATGGAGGAACTGACTTGTGGTGAGTTGAATGTGTAGTACATGTTGGAACATGTCCGATACAGACAGTCAGTGGTAGTGAAGAACGCTCAGTTATAAGAACGATAGGGACGAACATTGTTAGTGCTTACGTTTGGTGTTTTTTGTTGCACCGCCAACTGTCTTGCCATCTTCTTAGATTTCTGTTGGGTTTCAGTTCCCGTTATGGCAACACAGGATTGTGTCTTTCTTCAGATTTGATAAAAACTAATTTGTATTGCGATATTGTGTCATATGTAAGCACAATTTTCCTTTGCCTGTACATGAGGCTTTTCACATGTTATAAGAACGATAGAGGTTCGTCCGGACGCAACTTACTTCATGATCGTTTCCATTCTATCTTGTTACTTGTACAATGTAGATTGCAAGTACGGCTGCAAACCCAAGATTGTGACTCACCCACCTACGCCAAAGAAGAAGGCCTCAGTCATCCAGCCAGTTGTAGGAAACCGAGGAAATGTGGCGCTCATCGTCGACTATGGTACCTGCTCGCCAACGCACGAGGGATACACGTAAGTTTAGACACATAATTATCTCGATTATAGTACCTGAACTGTAGGCTGTAGGAAAGGAATGAGATGACATCATCAGCTCCACTTTCCACTGGCCTCAGATCATGCCGTCCGTTAGCTCGTATTCCGCTTCCTTACCTTGGTTGTCACGGGCCAAATGCAGAATGCAGAGCAGAGGGGTAGAGTGTGCAGTACATGTAGTGCTAGTGCTAGCAACTATGTAACTAATGTTGAACGGTATACAGTGTGTCACTGTGTGTGTACGTGTGCATGCGTGTGCGAGGGGGAGGGGGGGGGGGGGGTGGCACTGGGGGTGGGTGGTAATAATCGATGCTACTTTCCCATCGACATCGAATTAAAATCACAAGCATGACTAGCAATCTTTGTCTGACTGCTGCTTACTGTATGTATTATGTTAATGCAGATGGTTCATTGACTGGGGAGATGGCACCACCAACCACAGCTACTACAAGGATCTGCTCCAAGTCCAAGTCCTGCATCAATACGACGACTGCGGCAAATTCTGCATCAAGACCAGATACTGCTCATACTACAAGCGCGTAGCAGAGAACGCTACTACACTCACTACCCGTGGCAACTGCGACTACTATCAGCGAAAGATCGACGTCACCTTTGACCCACCGGCTGGCTTGTAATGTGTCGGATGCACACGCTTGACTTTAACCAAGTCTTGACTATTCTTTTGTGATTCTATTGTCGACCATTGCTCAATACTCCTGATGGCACAGTGTACATTTCCACCTCTGCCTCAATCCGACCTGTATTGTGTATTGTCCGTGCTCGCTGAGTCACGAGTCCTATCCTCCCTGACATATTAGTACTCTAGCTACCTTCTCACAGTGCAATCACAAACTACATGTACAACACTCAACTAACGTCTCTTTGCTGCACGAGCTGTTGTGCACTTGCAGTGTCTTTTGACTTGAAGTTCAACTGTCACTTTTCACAGCTGCCCATCATTGGCCTTTCATTGCACACGTGATGCCTGGTATTGTTGTTCCGAGTATTTATACCGCACTCTGTGTTGCTTTACATCGTGAGATAGGATGTCATGTGGAAGCTGTGCATCGGGAAAGGGGGCTACAGCACTCTGATGTCGCCACCCTTCTCTCAGTCTGAATGCCATTATGCTGCTGATGATGATGGTTGGCGTGCATGCTGGTGATTGCAACGCAGTGCATACACTGGGTACACTGGGTACACTGGGTACACTGGGTACACACAGCAGCCGCACAGAGGAGGTTTACAGAGTTGTCCGTCGAAACTCCGAGTTTCGTGCACAATACAATCATAAAGGGAAGGGGAGGGTTTTAAACCGGGTACGAGGATATCGGACTAATCTTTGACACCGGCACACAAATACACACACACACACGAGTACACGCACACACATACACACAAGCGCGCGCATACACACACACACACACACACACACACACACACACATGAGCACACACATGCCCGTGCGTACATATGAGGAGACCATGCTTTCCACTGAGGATGGAAGAACGTCGGGGTTCAACGCAAGGTTACTAGTATGTATGATGTAGTACTTCGAAGTACTCTTGCGCAATTCCTCCATTGTTGCATGCTAGCAGTGTAGTAGAGATTAGTATCGCTCTGCGGTTGCAACTTGGTGTAGCTTTCGACAATTTTAATATTTCGTTCCCCGTGCGCAGGTTTTGCAGGGTCAGCGAAACGCCAACGGCTGGCTGAATTCAGACGAACGAGTCCTGTGCATGTAAAAGATCCTTGTATCATGTGCTGCAGTGCATTGACATAAGGACAGGCCGAATTTTGGTGTTGAGCAACCATTCATGACCTTTCTTACATACACTGGGATGAGCAGTTCTTGCGAGGCGGATATTGACCTGGATGAATAACCAAGTAGGAATGAGAATTCCTCGCATTCATCTGCCATGCACTCACATGTCAGCACTCACCTGATAGCGAGCAAGGTTGTTACACAATAATGGCCTGCTGATTTGCTCCGTATTCTACCACCGATGCATTGCGACGGTCTGCTTGCCAAACCAAACGATGGGCATTGCCACATGTGTCGGCCTACGTCTGTAGGGCCTTCCCTATCAAAGTATTAAATTCTACTACATGTACATGGACTACCACTATAATCACCGCTTTACTCAACCAACTACAACTAACTTGCAGCTTATAAATTTATCTTTGGCTGCGTGTTGAGCGTCTGTGTGTGTATACATGTACATGTATGTCCATGAGTACGTGCGTGTGATCTTGTTCTTGGTCCGAGCTATTCAGTGGGCCACAGGCAGCTTTGCCACGAAATACGGACATAAGGAGACATGAAGATGACTAACCTCTGCTTGATCTTTGCCCCAAGCAAAGAGTCGCTTAGTGATAAACGAATCAAAGCAGGCTCTCTAGGGAAGTTGAACTCGATAAGGTTACCAGGTTACCGTGAAGTCTTTCATTACCGCGTAGCCATCCTGGAGAAAACCCCTTTTGCTTTTTCATGATTACGTCAACTATTACTTTCGAAAGGGGGAAAAGGGAAAGACCGGCGAAGACCATGTGCCCATCATCATTGCCATTGCATTGCCACTACTAGTACTAGAACTAGAAGTCATGTCTTATTCATGTCCCGTTTCCCCGACACATGCCCAAAACTGCTGGCACGTGTATCTCAGCTGGCCTGTCATGATTGCGAATGCCCGAGATTGCTATCATAAGATCGGGAGCCATGAAACGCACTAGTACAAGTTCTACATGTTTTAAGTCCTATAATGTTATGTACATCCGTGTAGTACATTTGCCTTGGATTTCTGGACTGATCGGATAATGACAGTTGACTACTGGCATGCACATCTCCAGTACTGGCAGTAGTGGGGACGGACTACAGAGTCGTGTAGCTACAGGCACCATGAATCGGTTGTAACTAATTACTGGTGGAGACAGATGGTCTCGACAGCAGGTCCTGGGACAATGGCGATGTTTAACTAAGTTCTTCACGTGATCTGAATCCAGACTGTCAGCAGTTCAGCCCATGCCATGGGCATGGCCCACGAGTACGAGTTGCAGCAGGTCATTTATGCGATTCCTGCTACACGACTGTATTGTTTTGTCGATGTTGTTGTTTGGTTGGTTGGTGAATGCTTTGCTTGCTAACTTCTACACCACAATGCCTGCTGTTAATGGTGTCGTACAGACCAAGACCTTGCCAACTACTACTACTACTAGTACATGTAGCTGGTTCTGCTGGTAGTTTTGCTTCTACTTGAACATGACAGTCATGTTCAAGTAGAGGACTCTAATCTCTATGGTGAAGTGAAATAAAGGTAACCTAACATAACATAACTTTGTAGGTGCCGTATGCCATACCTGAACAGTGGTGTATTGATGTACGGAGAGAGAGAGAGAAAGAGGCAGGGCGATGAATCACTAGATCGGCACGGGTCACAGGTACACCGTAAACTGTTTAGTGCCAACAATTTTGGAGCGTCCTCTGACAGTAGGCGGCTTGCTGGTCGATATTAGTGACTTGACATAGCTGTCGACTGAATAAACTACTCAGTGAATGACGTCATATCAGCTGAGGATGACCAGCAGCATTCGATAGAAAAATCCCATCCACTGATCCAGATCGGATATGGACCATGGCATGGGCTCCACTCTCAGTCCCATGTCAATGATCATGCATGCTGCTGACAGTGACACTTGCACTTGATGCACCGTCTCATGCATAAATTTATGTTCTTTGGACGCATCTGCAGCTCTGTCAGATAGTAGCTTTGTCGCCAGGTCGACATCCTTTTGGAGTCGCAAAGGATTATGCAACATGCTATCTCGTAAGACAATATTCGGTTCCACCGCAGCGACAGCGGATTGACAGGTGTGATTCACATGTCAACCATGTGCGGCGAGCAAGGGCAAAGGACTCTTCAGGAACGCAGGGAGCTTCCCGCGGGTACCTGTACCGCTCCCCCTGTCTGCGTCCTCTGCGTCAGAATTATTGTTTACGCCTGCGGTCCGTGTGTCCAGGAATGAGACTTGAGTGACAGAGTTCTCTGTACTCTGCTGTGTGTGTGTGTGTGTGTGTGTGTGTGTGTGTGTGTGTGTGTGTGTGTGTGTGTGTATGGTCCAATGGTGCGTGTGTGTGTGTGTGTGTGTGTGTGCACGCGCGCAGTATACATGTATACTAAGATAGATGTAATCAGAATTCATGCCGTACCTGTACCTTACTGATGACCTAATCGCTCGGTACATCGAATTACAGGTTGCGGTGATCGCAGCACTGGGAGATTACGTATAAAAGAAGCCTTCGTGACCAAACATTCTTCAGTTCAAGATCGTCGAAGAGAAGGTTCAACTTGCTATTGGTTCGAAGATACCAACACGCAACAAGATGAAGGTTCTTGCCCTTCTCGCTCTCCTCGTGGCCACTGCTGCGGCGGCCGGCATGGACGCCAAGTCGCTGGACGTCAGTGGTTTCCTGAACGACATGGCCGAAGACATCAACACCATGGATGAGTCGTCGTGTGGTGAGTTAGAGCTCAGTTAGGCCCTAATTTATCCGGCCATACATGTACATGTGTTGAGAAGCCGTGACAAGTAGAGTTTTGCTTGTTCCCGGCAGGTCACCACCATACCTGTACCTGGCTTCTAGTGCTTCTAGTGCTTCTAGTGCTTCTAGTGCTTCCACCATACATGTATGCTGTGCAATGTTAGTTCAGTGTTTCGCTCCTGCAGTGTTGTGTTGCTCTGTGACCAAGTGCGCATTACCTTGACGCGGCTAGGCTGCTGGTCGTGCCATTGTACTCTATCGTCATCTCAAAAGTTTCAAGTATTAGTTCCAGAAGCGCTGACAACGTGTTGTTGTTGTTGTTGTTGTTGTTGTTGTTGTTGTTGTTGTTGTTGTTGTTGTTGTTGTTGTTGTTGTTGTTTGAATTCTTTATTCTCACGATGGCACCATCGCCAATAAGAGCTTGTTGTTGTTGTTGTTGTTGTTGTTGTTGTTGTTGTTGTTGTTGTTGTTGTTGTTCATCAGGATGTGGTCACGGCTGCAGACCCACAATCATCAGGTATCCAATGGCCGAGAAGAACAAGTCCTCTGTCATTCAGCCCGTCGTCGGAAACCGTGGCAACGTTGCTCTCATCGTCTACTGGGGAACCTGTTCACCGACACACAAGGGATACACGTAAGCAGACAAGCATGCACACTTACATGTACATACACTGTCACGTGACCACTCTAGGCCACGAACCTGCTTTGGACCGACAAAGCTGATAAGTGCAATATGCCACTCATGACTTTAGCACCCTTTCATCAGCATACTAGTATCGAATGTCTCCTACCCATGTCTACTAGTATACTATCGTCTGTCGTGTGCAAAGAGGCGAGTTGAAGGCGTTACAGTGAATAATCTCATCTGCAGGACCAGCACCTGGGGATTGAACGCCGTCTAGTATTCTGTCAGGTGTTGGAAGCACTCAATTACATCCATGCTGCCAACGATACCCAATGGTGTACATGTAGAGATACTAGTAATCATATTCGTTTGTCGAAAAATGCAAAAGGCTTCCCACAAAGCGTATTACATGTACCGTACATTGGTTTTATTCTCTTTTTGCCAATATGTTGTGCTTTTTCAGATGGTACATTGACTGGGGAGATGGCAAGAGCTCCAAGGGTTATTACGATGACCTTCTTCAGGTGCAGTCTCTCCACCAGTACGATGACTGCGGCTACTTTCGAGTCACTGCCAGATACTGCTCCAGCTACAAGAGCGCCGGAACGGAGACAAACACGCGCGGAAACTGCGACTACTACACACGAGTGATTGACGTCACGTTCGACCCTCCAGCAGGCATTTAAACAAGCCTTGTGCATTACTTGTACATGTACTTGACCTTCTGATTAAGTGATAAATTAATTATTTTTCAATGCCAACACACAAATTCAGTCTGTACTAGTACATTGGATAGCTATAAACCCCTTTCCCCCAAATCCTTCAGAGTATTGAGTGCGGTCTAGATTGGACGCCTATCTAGCAGGTATACCTGCCTGAGAGACTGTTTGCTTATACCATTTATTCATCAACAACACAACACAACAATACTTACTAAAAAGAAGGCGTGCTTTCGTCTGCACCGCTCTAAACGCAACGTATGCTGTGTGTTATGTGGATAACGAGTCCGATTAATGACCATGTTATGTACCGTAGATGTGGTGGACATACATGTACCTGCATGCATGGGAAAGGGACTATACATGTACAGGTATGTGAGGAGCTAGGACTGGAGCAGCTCCTCTAAAAGAGACTGTGATACTGGAGCGGCTTCGTCTGCAGGATGAAACCTATCCCAAAGCGTGAAAGTTAGAACCCTTCTCGCTGTGCATGTGACCAAGCCAGTTCCCATCATCCCATGGTTGCTAGGCCTTGACGGATTATGCTAGCATAATTTTTCGCATAATTCCTACCAAAATCGAATAAAATGGCAATAAATAAGATAAATTGTGCACTCATAACAACAGCAAAAATGAAGAAAGTCAAGTTCCATAACGTTTTCTTGTGACTGTCATCAGTGGAACGCCGTCACATAAAAATGTAATAACTAAAACACACACTTATATACATGTAGCTAATATGGTTTCAGGTAGAAATACAGCAGCTAACAAGTACAAAAAGCGAAGTTTGCACCTTTGTAATGTGTGAATATAGTGTATGTGAGAAAGGTAGTGGCAGATGAATGTGATACTGTGTGAATGAATGTAATGGTGCGTGTGTATTATTTGAAGAGTGTGAGTGATACAACGTTTTCTTTCTGTTTACATAGCACAGGGTCACGAGTACGAATATACACAGCTTCCAACACCTGCAGTTGCTTGAAGAAACGTGCGCAACGAATAACACTAAACCAGGAATCGTCAAACACCTTACGACATTCTGGACTGGACACCAAATGCTTGTACACTGCAGACTTCCTCTTGTCAACATCAAACTCCTCCTCATCTGGTTCCCCCCTCGGAAACCGGACCACGGCAAGGGAGGCCGCCGGACGGTCGCTCCTCAACAAACCATGTTGCTGCAACGGTAAGAGCGGAAGGGGAACAACTTGAAAACAGAACAGAACCGAGGAGAAGCAAGAGACTAGCAGAGGCACGACTGAGACAAGTGGAGAACACAAGGCAAGGAGACGCAGGAGGAAGCACAGGCACGGCACAGAACGAATCAAGGAGAGGGAAGCGGTGTCGCGAGGAGATGGAGACTGATGACGACGAATACGAGTGCGATGGGATGGACGGCGGCATTGGAATGGAGGTGGAGGATGAGAGTAGTGATGAGGAGGAGTTTGATGTTGACAAGAGGAAGTCTGCAGTGTACAAGCATTTGGTGTCCAGTCCAGAATGTCGTAAGGTGTTTGACGATTCCTGGTTTAGTGTTATTCGTTGCGCACGTTTCTTCAAGCAACTGCAGGTGTTGGAAGCTGTGTATATTCGTACTCGTGACCCTGTGCTATGTAAACAGAAAGAAAACGTTGTATCACTCACACTCTTCAAATAATACACACGCACCATTACATTCATTCACACAGTATCACATTCATCTGCCACTACCTTTCTCACATACACTATATTCACACATTACAAAGGTGCAAACTTCGCTTTTTGTACTTGTTAGCTGCTGTATTTCTACCTGAAACCATATTAGCTACATGTATATACATGTAAGTGTGTGTTTTAGTTATTACATTTTTATGTGACGGCGTTCCACTGATGACAGTCACAAGAAAACGTTATGGAACTTGACTTTCTTCATTTTTGCTGTTGTTATGAGTGCACAATTTATCTTATTTATTGCCATTTTACGACTATTGTCTCCTCGTCGATTGTTTAAAATCGAATAATCGCATAATTCGAGGCAAATTGCATACGAATCGCATAAGATTGGAATAATCCGCCTGTTCGCATCAAATTCCATACAGTTGTACAAGTACAAGTACAAGTAGATGCACTAGGAAGTTGTAGGTTTACGACTCCCTTGATAACATGTCCAGTCCACTACAATCAGTGATGGTCGTAGCTAGCTAGGTCGAGGACCGGTCGGACGGTGTGTTGACGTCATGACCCCGTTGAACTTTTGCTGCTTCAGTACAACGTCCTCTACAAAAATTCCCCTGTTATTTTGCACAGAACCATTATGCATTAGCAGCATATGTGAGCATAATGCGGCATAATATGATAACTTTTAGCATAAAAATAGCATAATTCTCCAATTTTTTCAGCAATGCGAAAAGCATAATTTCACGAAAATATTAGCATAATCCGTCAAGGCCTAATGGTTGCGGTTGTTTGCCAGTTCGAGTACTTTTAAACGTGCAAACGCCAAACGTACATGTACATGTAGAAGTTAGCCTAGGCCTAGGGACGAAAAAGAGAAGGAAACGAAGAGGGGAAACGAAGAGAAAACAACACAGGGGGTAAATAGGGCCGAGTAAATGAACAATAGGTGGAGAAAAAGGAGAAAAGGAAAGAAGAGAAATACTGAGATAATAAAGGGACTTCCCTATTCAAAATTTAATAATAATAATGAACACAGGGACACTAACGAAAACAGTGTAAGTGTCTCAACTTGTGACACTTTCCTTCTGTCTACAGAAGTCTGGCTTTAATTTATGGATATAGATAGGCTCAAGCACAGTTTTAACTGTGAGGCAAAGTCACACTTATGTAGACAGAAGGAAAGTGTCATGAAGACCAGCCAAAGAACAAAGAACGGCCAAAGGATGGAAATGGTGGAAAGACTGGCCGTGGAACAGAAGTAACGGATGACGCTGATGTTGACTACGATGAGAACAGCGAGGAAAGTGATGACGAAGAGCGAGAGGAAGATAGCGTGGATGACGAGAATGTGGGAGAAACAGGCGGCGGAGCGAAGCCAAGAAGAAGAATCAGCAATCAGCAGTGCGTCTGCATCTGATGGCTAATGAGAAATGCCACCAATCCTAGACGCACTGCTGATTGTTGATTCTTCTTCTTGGCTTCCCACCGCCGCCTGTTTCTCCCACATTCTCGTCATCCACGCTATCTTACTCTTGCTCTTCGTCCGTTCTTTGTTCTGTGGCTGGTCTTCAGGCAACTCAGTCGCACAACCATAATTTGCCTTCGATCCCCTAGGCCTCTTTGCTTCTGGTGGTGGCAACTCCTAAGTCATACGTGTCACTCACTATCCGTGTCAGACTGACATGTAGATGTAGATAGTTGTCTCTCACTACTTTCCTACTCACTTTCAAGAAAGTGAGCTAGTTTTGGTTGAGTTACGGCCTGTTGAAGTTTCACAGATGAGGAGTGCATGGAATTCCAAGACTAGAGTCCATAAACAAGAGTATGCAACTGTGATCTCTCTTCTATGGGCCAGATGCGCGGCGCGCTGCCTTCATTACATCATTTTCTGCAGTCCGCACTCTGCGGAAAATCAAACGCCACACGTCTTTGTGCTCCGCCCATACAACACAGCAACAACGACAGAGCGGCTTTTTTTTCTTTTTCTTTCTTTCTTAATTTTTTTGGACAACACATTAACATCTTTCACTGCGATACAACCAATGCCCCGACAAAGCAATTACTAGTACACTATCCCAAACAAACAACCAGCCAGATCGATGCAGAAGGCATCTGCGTCTGCGACACACCCCTGCCCCTTGCTGCTGCTGAGAGCCTATTCAGGCTGACAGCCCAGCCTACCAAATTGACATTGCGGAAAGCAACAAAAACCCAAAAACAAAGCAAACAAAAAACAACCCCAAAACACGCACGAGAAAGAAAGAACACGATATTCCAGAGTTCTCCACTGGCTGTGGGTGGGTGAGAAGACGGACGCGGAAATCCTGAGTTCACGTGACCGAACTGATGTGGGTGGGTGGGAGGGTTCTGGACATTAGGCATTGGCTGATAATGCTCGAAAATGTGGCAGATTCTGCTCGAAAAGCAGTGAAATTGGCAGAACCACACAAACCTTATGGCGGGCAATTCCTCGAATTCTGCTCCATTTCTTTATCCACATACCAAAACATGCATGAAACTTACCAGAAAAAGTACCGAATTCTGCCAATTAATTTTTCTGCCGGCATTATCCGCAAAGGCCTAGTTCTGGTCCTATCAGAGAAGTAGGCCACTGCGAAGTGACGACCACGTTGGGCTGTGTCTGCTTTGCGCAGACTCGCACTGAACCACCATGATTTTCATGGCTACACACAAAGACACGTGCTTCCCAACTTTGGAAACTTTGGTGCCATTGGAAAGCGTAACGTCGTTGTGCTCCGCCCATACAACACAGCAACAACGACAGAGTTGCATAGCCAGTGGCTGGCAATGGCGACAGAGAGGATAGTCATTGCATCCCTTTCGTGATTAATTTTGTAACAAGGCTTCTTAGGACTCCTCAATAATATCCTTGCATAGACTCCAAATGTCGCCAGCCGCCGTGTCGTTGCACTAATCGCACGGGTAGCCCTGGGTTCCGCAGAGCAGACGACACGCCACCAGACCGCAAACTATGCAGACCAAACTCTTGACGGCCACTCTTAGGCTGCGTAACACCCGACTCGTGACTAGGCATTGGCGGATAATGCTCGAAAAAAAAGTGGCAGATTCTGCTCGAGAAGCAGTGAAATTGGCAGAACCATACAAACCTTATGGCGGGCAATTCCTCGAATTCTGCTCCATTTCTTTATCCCCATACCAAACATGCATGAAACTTACCAGAAAGAGTACCCAATTTTTCTGCCGGCATTATCCGCAAAGGCCTACTCGTGACACATCCGGAGCCCGGTCCCGGGCTCTGAAGTATGTAAGGTTGCCACGGATGACTTGAACACCACCCACAGCATGCACTTTGCCAAACAACGGGAGTCCTGGTAGATGGTGTGCTCGAGAAAGAACTCTCTCCATCCAGGTCACTGCGCACACAGACGTATCCTCTATACGACTGATAGGCGCTATGTGCCTTTCACGGAATTGATCATTCTTGCGGCTTTCTATGAACACTGAGATGTGCTGTGTGGAGATATTGATGCTTCTCTGTCCACCCTGCACTCACTCGTTGCGCACACATCCGCACACTCACTCATACGTGTACACCACTATTGAACACGTGAACATTGCCAGTGGGGGCCACCACAGCACAAAGACAAAAGAGTTTTTGCCGCCGCCATCCTCTCGTCCTGTCTCCCCCTCTTCATCTGCGTACTCTCCTTGCTCCTCTTGCCCTTCTTGCTGTTTCTCCTCTTGCTACTTCTACTCCTGCCACTTCTCCTGCTCCTGCTCCTCTCTGACTCACTCTCATTGTTACTCCTATCCTCTCTTTTCCTCTTACGACTCTTGGACTTCTCCAACTTACTTCCTCTCCAACGTCTCCAATCTCACAGCCATCTCTCTCATCCTCCTACATGTACTCTCCTCATCATACCCTTCACTCTCACTCAGTGTCTGCTCCAGCGCCGGGTGAGCCGGGTAATCCACCCGGTTGGGCGGCGCTTGCACCCGGTTGAAAAGATAGTACCGGGTCACTTGTGACCCGGTTGGTACTTTACACTTTCGAACTTTGAAAGGACTGACTACATGGCTTGTATGTGTCAGATACTTCTTCTTCTTTCGTAATTTTCTAATTCCTGTCCTCTCTTTTTTCTAAATGTGGCTTAGCCATTCGCCTTTATATCATTGGGCGTAGTTCCCGTATATTGTCTGAATTAAAATAAACCAACCAACCAGTTAAAGCATGGGACTCGGCTGGTGAGACAGCGCCAGGTACATGTGTACCCGGCTCCAACCCGGTTGAAATGGTTGCGCCAGGTACACGTGTACCTGGCTGTCCTACAATCCTAGAGCAGACACTGCACTACCACTACAACTCGGCGAAACACTTCTCGACCTCGACATTCTTTTCACAAACCAAAACAACTTTCAACTAAATGTCACAACTCTCACTGAACTCTCCGCACAAAGACAAAAGAGGCCGACCCTGCATTCGTCACCTCCTTTTATCCCACACCGTGCTCCCTCTTACCCGTTCCGGGTGGACAGAAGGCACTACTTCTCTGCTAATTCTTATACTGTGACGTCAACCACAGAGAAGTGACATCATCTGGCTGTAATCTGACCATATCGTCTCAGCGCAGGAATCCTCGGAATCCTAGTAGGATGAGCGTCATCATTTGCAAGTGGACCAATGACTGCTCAGACTGACTGAAACACTGGATCAGCTTCCTGATGTCCTGCAGTGTAAATGGCTTCTTCTTCTGAGCACGTCGTGCTAGTAATAGACGATGGCAGTCTTGCAGCGTCTGCCGGACTAACTCTGAGCAACAAAGCGAGTCGATGCATGCCTTATGATGAGCCCAGTTGATTGCTGAATACAGTATGCTGCATCCACTGGTGCGCTGGACTCCGCTGGACTCCGCTGTCAAAACTAACTCCACCAGATATAACGCAACGTGTTATTGCTGGCAGCGCCTGTACTTGCACCACTTGCGGAACCTGTCGAAGGACCCACTAAAAGGCACTAGTACTAGTACATGTACTAGTACTAATACTTCTCGACTGGCCACCAAATACAATTTCACAGCTCTACATCTCATCGTATCACATCTCTTCATACGTCACCTCCTACATCTCATCGTATCACATCTCTTCATACCGCACCTCCCCCTATACTTGTACCTAATCAGCCTAGCCTAGCACCCTCACCTCATCCTATCCCGTCACCCGGCCCCTTCTATGCTAACCACCCCGGTGGGATGACTGTATACGTGTATGTCTACTGCCCCGTCCATCCGCGGAGCTGTCGCACGCCACCACACCGACAGACAAAAAGCACACGGTAAACCCTATCAGGCTTATACCGGCTGACCCTTACAACCTAGCATACTAGTATGTAGAATTGCAATGAGAGCTTGATTAATTATTAATGGCAATTATCATGCTAGAGAACAAGGCAGAAATAAATAATAAAAAACTGGCTGGCTTCAAAACATCGCACCGCTTGTATGTCCACGCAACTAAGAAAACGTGTTGAAAAGCGTAACTTTCCCTCTGGTTTGAAATGAACTTTCGTACGGAACTGGAGTTCACGTGCCAAAAGTTAGAGATTGTGTAGGTACTGGAACGAATTGAGCAAAAACGGACGGGCTGGTATGAGAAATTGTGGGTTTGAGTGCATACTTTCAGAGCGTGATGGTCCTGATGGAGGCAAGTGACGTAATGTACTTTTCTACTACGTGATGAGGCCAGTGAGTGTGCCACGCTGCCCACGCACGTACCCATAACCATGATAACCACAGTTGCAAAAGTTACTTGCACACTCTTGTCCGTATAATTAAATTAATTATGCACTCTTGATCCTACGCATTCGAGTGTAGGGCCGCCGCGCCCCGGCCCCCGGCTCTCAAAGGGTTTAAAAACCTCTTTTAGGACAAAGCAAGAGTACTCAGTCTTCATGGTCTTGGACAAAGGCAAGCGAACATGCAGTGATCTTATCGCCATGGCAGCGAGATGGGGGGGCTTCTTTGCGCCTTCTTTGATCGCGGTGGTTCGCCGTTCACGTCAGTTCACATGACAACAAGTCATAATCATTGTTTTGGTGGCCTGCACGGCTGCAGCCAGGCTGCAGCTAGCTAGTTGGAGTTCATTGAACTACGTGTATTATTATTATAAAATTAATATCTGAGGTGTTGGCCGTTCTGACTGTAGTTCTTCTTTGAGTTTGATGTCCCAAGCATCGCGTCTTCAGCTGAGCATTTTGTTGGCATTCATTGTATTGATGGTACCGATCCAGTTGTTTGGAGTCTTCAAGTTAGTAATAGCTTTCTCCACGTTCTAGCGCGTGACGGCATTCCTCATCAAGTAACATTAGTTCTACTCATTTTTAGCTAGTTAGAGCCAGGGCTCGCCAAAGGCTTGTTATTGTCGTGGCTTTCCACTTCGGAAATAGCGGCAGCATGACCACGTCGACAGCAGTGGTGAACTTCAAGAGTCTTCTGGCCCGAAGCAGCGTACACAGCTGTGTCGATAGTGTCAGTTGTGATGGCCCTACCGGCTGTAGCTTCAGTGAAAACAGGAGTAAGCAGGACGACGTCGAGGCGACGACCTCTCCGTTGCCACTAAGTCAGGATCGTCACGTCTCGCATGCCGAGTGCGCCTGCACGGGATTGGACGGCAATGGTAGCAGTGAGGGATACTCATCATCATTCCTTTCTTCGCTCGCAGTACGTTGTAACAGTGAGCAAATACAAAATTTACATCGGAGCAGTGCGGAGTGTAGTTCGAGTAGCGCAAGTAGTGCCAACGTCAGTAACCATGGTAACGCCGGCACTGACAGTAGGCTGAGTAGCGCCAGTAACCATGGTAACGCCGGCACTGACAGTAGGATGAGTAGCGCCAGAAACGCTTCGAGCTATTCCTCTAGCGCAAGGCAAGACTGCGCAGGCGCCGACCTGCTTGCTGAGGTAAGAACATAACCTTGGTAACCGTTCCCTTCAGCTGAGCTGGTGCTTGGCAGTACTACATTATTGTATAGATGTAGTACTACTAGTACTACCGTAAACTCCCCCGCTGCAAACGCCCACCCCATTTTTGCAAGATCTGCTCTTGGTCTGTCAAGCCAAAGCCTAATATTAGGCTTTAACACATTTATACAAAAATGCGGGAGTTTTGAACTTCAGATGCAGCCATACATGCTCCAATCCATTTGTTTATCAGCTAAGCACTTCGTTCTGGAAGAGAATAAATTTCACCACCAAATCATGAACACAGAATGATCCTCCTCGACTATGCTACGTGCACAACAGCGAACATCAGCACATTTAGAGCTAAGAACAGGTGCTTCATGAAGCCTAATATGCAATGCAGCATTGCACTGATGTAAAAGTGAAAAATCAATCTGACCCCATATCTCAACACCTTTGAGAAAGAAACAGCGGTCAGCACTCAAGATTACCTACAAAAAAACATCATAGATGTGGGCCACCATGCATGAGAGATACGGGTGCACTGACAATGCAAAGTATTACAAGTATCACTTCCAGAAATGCAGTCGCAGCAAGATAATGACAAAAGAGATTGCATCTAAGTAGACCATGATTATTCTGACTACACAAGTCAATGTCTACAATGGCCAACATCTACAAAGTTACGTATGCCACACTTCTGAGCAGGTGACGTGGAGGCCAACATCGCACTGAGCGCATTCAAACTTTGTGCGAGCAAGCTTCCCGCCTTCTTTACATAGCACACAGTCGCGTTGAGGAAAGCCGGCTTTGCTGCCTTGGACGGGTCGCAAGGTATGCTTGCCGACAAGCCTTGAAGCTGGTCGTTCTGCCGTTGCTTCCGATGATCTCCGACACTTAGCACCGGCACTGGACGGGTGCTTGGCCAGACCTGCATTTGCTTCCAGCAGCTGGTTGGCAAGCTTGGTCATGAAAGCCAGGTGAGTCAACGGTGGTTCTGATGTGGCATGGCCAGCCAATCCATGTTTGTGCAGAAGGTAGGCGTTGACTGCGGCCGTGTCTAAGACCCAGTACAAGATTGCATGCCACCACTTTGTGCACTTGATTGAGCAGCTGTAATAGTTACGGAGCTGGTCAGCGATATCAACTCCATCCATGAACGCATTGTAGTCATGGAAGACGTTGAGCTTGGTCAGCTCAAGACGTTGAGCTTGGTCAGCTCAACGTCAACAGTCTCAGTGTTGCCTGACTGCGGGTTGAATCTCACCCTGGGCTTTGCGAAGGTCACATCCTCCAGAGCGTGATGCGCTGTGGTGAGCATGGCAACTGGCTTACTGTCGTAGTAGGTCAGGGCTACAACATTGTTTCGCGCAGCCCATTTCGTTGTGCCTTGCGCGTCTTTCGCCGCTTGCCCTTTCTTGACCGGCTGCTTCACACACGTCGGCACACGATCCGCCCTTGCAGTGCACGTGTAGAGTTGCCCGCGTTCCAGGAGGATCTCAGCAAGTCTCGTGTTCGAGTACAGGTTGTCAACGAAGACATGGTGACCCTTGCTCGGCAGCTGCTTCATCAGTTGCACAACGGCATTGAAAGTCTTGCTCAGGTTGGGCTCCTTCGGAATGAACGGGTCAAACTGGAAATAGAAGCTCCAGGTGTATCCACTAAAATAGTGCGGGTCACACAGGGCATACACCAGGAATCCATCGCCAGCGCGCTTAAATTTGATGCGCGACTTGTAAGCGCTCCGGCCCTTGAATGCGATGTCCATCTCATCAAGACTCAGTTGCTTCGTTGGAGAATACAGCTCGTTACACTTCTCCAGGAACACATTCAACATCGGGCGAACTTTGTAGAGTGGGTCGAATTGCGGCGTTCCATGTTTCGGCTCGAGGCTGCTGTCGGCAACATGGAGGAAGCGCTTGATCTGCTGGTATCGGGTCAAGCTCATCCTGCTCTTGATATTGTCGTTGCCGAACAGCTCTTCGCTGGACCAATACAGCGTCATGGAGGGGTACGGGTGCAATGCATTGTTGAATAAAACGCCCATCCAAACTTTCAGCTCAGCCACAGTGAGATTGCTCCATGGCCGTGCAGACTCTACATCATTCGGGTGAGCTGCAACCCACTGATAGTAGTACTAGTTTGTTTGCGCACAAATCCTTTGCATCAAATCAGAGGGCAAGTACAAACACAACAGATCCAGGGGTGATTGAAGTGTTTCCACAGACAGTGCAGCCTTCAAGCCCGGATGACCTTCGAAGTCAGGCAGATCGTTCTGCGGCAGTTCTTGGGTCCAGCCAACATTTATCTGGCGGGGTGGACGACCAGCTGCAGCCTGTGGGGTAGGCTGGGGCAAATCATCATCTGATTCCGAGTCCTCTGCCTCATCACCTCCCTCCACAACTAATTCTTCAGCAAACTCGACATCACTGGTCGTTCCCACCGCTTCTTCTTGGCCTGACTCCATGTGTTACGCAAAGCCTAATATTAGGCTTACTCCAAAACGACAACTGCAGCACCATGAACGACTTCGCAAGCAACGACAACTAACGACTTCTCCTTCGAATTTTTGTCAGGGGAAAGCCCTTCTACGTGTCAGTTGGCTGCCATTTTTTATTTCCATAGAAACCGAGCGTGACTCATGTAGTACTCAGTCGCGTAGTTTCAAAGCCTAAAATTAGGCTTTGACAGACCAAGAGGTATGCGCTGACCCCATGCACTTTTACCCCTACTGTACGAAAGTGCATCTCACACTGTACTACGGTAAACTATGTCCATTTTCCGGGTTTCAAAATGTGTTAAGGCACTAGTTACGAGCAAGCTCCTGGTGATTTTATGATGTTGGTTGTTTTATTTCTCAAATCCAAACGGGAGTTACTTCGGAATAACAAGGTAGCGAAGAACAGGCTATTGCAGGAACCAAATACACTTCTGACGGTGTTTCCAGCCATCATTTCCAAATCACGCAACGCGCAAAGGCAAGGGGTTTTCTCGACCACGTCAGAGTTTTCAACAAGTTAGCAGCGACTTTGTGGGGGAATCCATAAATAAATAAATATAATAATATAGGTGTACTAGTAGCTTCTGTGATATCCGGCCTGTTCGACTTGTAACTGCAATACTGCGACCTGTCAAGTCATTGAATGACGCTTCGTCAGAACAATCACCGTTCCATTCTGAAAGCGCGACATCGTGGCACTGCAGAAATTTCATGATTTGAAAACCAGATGGATTCTACGGCATTACTTCATGGAGAACGAACTAATAACAAAGATGACTCATTCATCATATGAAAGGAAATCTCGACCGAAGTTATTTTCTTTGCAGCAAGATAATGACAATCGCTTTTGCAGAGACTCTTGGTAAGACATAGGCAGTTTGTAGGCATTATAGCCGTTCTCGTACGCATTCGACCTTCATGCCAGTTTTCTACAACTATATTGACCTGAAAAAGGCGGAAATGGTATGGACCCGCTGGGGTGGGCGTTTGCAGCGAAGTGGGCGTTTGCAGCAGACTTTACGGTACTAGTGGTACAGGTCAGTGAGCAACCCGAAGAAATGAAAATGTTACATTGAAGTACAGTCAACTCCTGATATAACGAACACCATTGTGCAGGAGAATTAGTTCTTTATAGCCGAAGTTTGTTATAACAGAAATTAGGGCTCAAACGATTAGTCCGATTAACCGGTTGCAGACCGGTTACGAAGAATTAACGGTTAACCGATAAAGATAACGGTTACGCAGTAACTTTTCAGTCAATTTTTCAAGTATCAGGTCGTTGCAAAGTGTGCACTTTCGCGGGCTGTCGCACGCGTACGCAATTTCTGGGCTGTCCACTCGGTCATATCTGGTCTCTTGGTGTGAGAGTATGTATGAATGAGCATGCAAGAGAATGTACATGTGTGCGTTGTACTGAATAGGGTACATTTTTTGAATGAGTATAGTCAAATATACAGTTAAAAAAGAGTCCGCAGGATTGCCGTGGCTTATAGGTTATAACCGGTTAACCGACCGTTAGTTTAGCAGTTAACCGTCAGGGGTAAAACCGTGACCGTTTGAGCCCTAACAGAAATGCACTCACGCTGTACAAGCATCAAGTCATGACTGGCAAGTGGCCCATGACAGTATGAGTGCACTTGGTTTACATGCGGCCCTAAAGGCTTTGGTTCGTTATAAACGAAAACTGTTCGCTGTATAAAAGGGTCGATTTTGTATGGGTTCAAACAGGGACATGGACAATGGTTCGCTATAATTATCACAAAATTCGCTATGTGCGAGCTCGTTATAAGTGGAGTCGACTATAGAGAGTAGTTACGGTGAAGATGAAGCATTGAAGGCACTGCAGTAGAAGTAGTCAATACAATGTAGTTTACATGGTCAATGAAAAAAAAATGGAATCATCCCCGCGTACAGCACCGTATGAACTGCAGTCTAGTGTGTGACAGATTATGTGGACAATTGCCTACTTCAACGGGCATTGCTGCAGTACACATGTACATGTACAAGCCGGTACATTGTTGTAGTATTACAGTGGTGCAGTAGTAGTGGGGCAGGCGCGTAGCTCGCATGGAGCACGAGGGGAGGGGGTGGGGGGGGGGGGGGGCACGTACACCCCTCCCCTAAAACTTCGACCTACGCGTAGATTCAGCATGCACATAATGACCCTGAATGACATGCACATAATGACCCTGAATGACATGCACCAGCCATCCTACACATACATGTACAGTATGCGGCTGTGCACCACCACCCCCCCCCCCCCCCCCCCCCGGCCGTAATGGGGGACCAGCTATGCCCCTGTGTGGGCAAGTTGAAGCTAAGCAACTCTCGTGATTTATTTAAAACCCCACATCAGTGAATAATGGCAAGAAGGCACAAGAGAATTAAAACAAAAAGCAAGTGAATAGCTAGAGGGAAAGAGAAAATCAAAGAGGAGCAATAACAAGTTAAAAATGCCCACATGAATAGAAGTATAGAGAGTGCGGGGCCGCGGGGACGAGTAGTATAGCGGTTATGCAAATGGCATAATGATGCGTCAGCGGATTATTTGTGGGTGTATGTACACAGTGACACGTGAAATACTGCTCAACATACTCATACTGTATGTCATGCATGGGTCTTCCGGTGGCTATCATTGCCTTTGCACTACTGCAGGTGAACACACTGGACCTGTTCCACACAGTGGCTGGCCTGTATGCTCGCAGTTTTCCTTCAACGGACATTGATGATATCTACAGTATCCTGGCTGCTGACAGTACGCGCACCATACTACTGTACACGGATATGGAGAGTAAGTAACTAGGTAGTCTGCACATACATGTAAGTAACTAGGTAGTCTGCACATACATGTATGACTGCACAAGTCACACAAATACTGCCGATCTGTACACACTCTGGTAATTGTCCTGTACTGCACAATACACAGTCATGTAACAACCCTGCCTGCAAACTGTGCGACTATGGTGTATTTAGCGACTATGGTGTATTTAGCGACTATGGTGTATTTAGCGACTATGGTGTATTTAGCGACTATGGTGTATTTAGCGACTATGGTGTATTTAGCGACTATGGTGTATTTAGCGACTATGGTGTATTTAGCGACTATGGTGTATTTAGCGACTATGGTGTATTTAGCGGCTGTGGTGTATTTAGCGACTATGGTGTATTTAGCGACTATGGTGTATTTAGCGACTATGGTGTATTTAGCGACTATGGTGTATTTAGCGACTATGGTGTATTTAGCGACTATGGTGTATTTAGCGACTATGGTGTATTTAGCCGTGCGGTGGGATACTATTGTTTGAATGCTGTTTTCATTGCAGCTGCCGTGATGGAATGCCAGAAAGCCTACAAGGACAGTAGCCATGGGACAGATGCCTCCGATGTGACTCCTGTGCCTGGTGCCGATGGCGATGACACCGACAGCACTACTACAGGTGACGAGGAAGAAGAAGAAGAAGATGACGACGACGAGCCAGCGAGTGTCCTGTCCGGTGTGTTCAGTGATTCATCATCGGAGGAGGAGGAATCGGACGAGTGAGTACTTGAGTAGTGGTGTAATGCTAAGTAGTTGTATGTTGATGAGTGTCTTCGGTGAGGTAACCCTTGATGCGGACACAGTGACAGGCGTCGGTCCACAACCTGCAGAGAAACGGTAAGTGTTGGTTAGCATTGCAGGGTAACGAGGCGAAAGAGCTGGCAGACAGTACCCTGTTGTTGGCCGACCCGACATAGGCAGTGATCGAGCGTGATTACCATAATGATCAGTGACCAAATAGCGTGATTTCGGTAAGAAAAGGGGACTTCTGCCAGCTACTAAGAATATAGCACCCAAGCTGGTCACCCTACAGCCTTACAAGCACAACCAGATGTTCGAGTGTTGAAGTGATAGAACGGAAGTCATTAGTATATTGCAGAAATGCATTGGCAAATCAAGTTGCTGTTTAGTTGTGCCTTTAATCACTGCCTTTAACCAGCCCAGAAGCTCATTGCACAATGACACAGTCAGTTGTAGCACCGACCCCCTGCACAACCACACGCACCTGGACATGGTTGTGTGGGTTGTTCAACAGTGCTTTCCTAGCCCCAACGCACTCACGTGCATTACTCGTACCTTCCGTTTTTGGCAATGCGTAATGGACTTTTTGCATACAAGCATGCATGTACAGTCTACAGTATAATAATATGTGTATGTGTGTGCAGTGTGAGTATTGTGCATTGTATGTGTGTGTGTTTGCATTCACCTGTGTGCTTGCAACAGAGAGGACGACGAGGATCAGACCGATGGCCATGGTTGCCGGGGACAGGCAGAGTTCTTGCACAGGGTAGCGGTCAGGAGGAACTTACGCCACTCCAACAAATGTAAGCTTTTTGAAACTTACAAAGCACAGTGGAACTTAGTCACGAAAACCAGAATCTTTAAAAGACATCTGCATCATTCTGTTCTTTCCCGGTTGTTTTGATCCACGTATACTTGAAGTACTGACTATCCACAACAGTGACGAAAGTAGTTCCAACTTAGATGCCGGCTGGTACCGTTGGAACAATGAATTTCCATTTTGTCGTTCGATAGACGTGGGATGTTTTCCTGGTGGTGTATGTGTCTACATTCCCCTCTCATTGCACTGTATGGCCATTGCTCTTTTTTTCATTACTGTCACACTGCTCCAGGGAACTGCTCAAGTGTGGGCATCGAGTCTCGACTGGCCGGTGCACTGACGTTTCGCTGGGTTCTGCAGTAAGCCACCTCTAACTAAGCATTGTTGTCATAATTGACATTCGGTGATTCCTGCAGTACCTCGTGGCTGCCACAGTTCTCTTTGATCCACTGACATCTAGGGATATAGTGAACAAATCTCCACCATTCCTTTTGCACATAACAGTGCTGCCAACCTGCTCGGTCTGATTTGCGCACTCGGACAGCTGAATTTCCGTATTTTCCAAAGTTTTGCGTGCCGTACCAATTTGTTTTAATCCCATGATTTATAATGTGTGTGTTTTGGCGAAAATAATGGGGGCTAAAATCTCATCAGTTGCAGACTATGCATAGTCATGACATGACTTGTGTCAGGATACTCATAGTCAAAGCTATATCCATTCAAACTGTCCTCATCATGTACATAACATATATACCATGTACATGACATATATACCATGTACTTGACATATATATACCATGTACATGACAGTGTAAGTGTATTGTAGAGAAAACTGGTTGATAGTCAGCTGATCCATACTTCTCAATCTTCCGTACAATTTCGGTCACTTTCCGTACTGCGGACGAAGGAGTGGATTTCCGTACAAATACGGAAGGTTGGCGGCGCTGACATAAAGCCTACGGTTCAGGTAGTTTTTTTAATTCTGCCAGTTGTGTGTTACGTTGCCAATGTCAGTCAACCATAGAGAGATTGCGTAATCCGAATAGGCAGTGCACTGTTTCGTCCTGTGTCAATATGAATAACGGCTGAGAGCGTTTGTTTCTTCGCTGTTGGATTCCTGTGCTTCGCTGATGCATGTAGCGGGAAGCTGCAGAGGCCTCTGGTGCACATCGGCCTGTTTGCAATTCGGCCTAGGTACAGGGGCCGTGGACTCGGCACCAACCTACTGCAGGTAAGGCATCATGGTGGCTCTGAGACACACATTCGCACATTCCCTGGCACACAGGACTGGAATTATCTAGATTTTTTGTGTGTTTTCCCGTAGTGTGTACGTACAGTTTGTAGAAAGACAATACAGAAAATTTGTAGAAGGCCAATACAGGCGGTTTCAACTTTCAACGTTGTACAAAGACAATACAGGCAGTTTGTCTACATGCCAATACACACAATTTGTAGTGAAAAGACATTGCAGACGGTTTGTACATAAGTATGCCAATATAGACATTTTGTGAAAAGTGTGATTGTGTGATAGCTAGCCTTGCTCCCAACTCGTGCTTCTATCTGATAAGACTGCATGCATAGGTCCAGAGACATGATGAGTGCTCAGAAGCCTCCGAATACTATACTGTATGTTTCCTTTGCGGGACTGCTACACTACAGTGGTCCCTCTATAATCCGGCACCATTTGTGCCAGGGAAATTCTGCTGGATTAGGGCGGGTGCTGGATTAACAAATCTGATTTACTGCTGCAATATGCATGAAAAGGACATTTTGGCTACTGAAAATTGTGCTGGTTTATAAAGTGCTGGATTAAAGGGGGACGACTGTACTACCGGTACGCGATGAAGATCACAGCCGAGTATCCTTTTGCTGCTTGGGTGGAATGCTACACAAATGCTCATGGTCGCTTGATCAAAACTATTCATGACTTTAGTGATTCATGTGCATTCAAGGCTGACGCTTCAATGTGTTGCAATGCCGTATACAGCAAGTGAAGAAGCAGTCCGTTTCAGGAAATTACTCCGCTATCATCTGCTACGCTGACGAGCGGGCAGTGGACTACTTCAAGAAGAACGACTTTGACGATGATCCCGTTCTTTGCATGCAATATATGTAAGTGGTTACAATTAGTTGTATTCAAGTGGAATTAGTTGTATTCAAGTGGAATTAGTTGTATTCAAGTGGAATTAGTTGTATTCAAGTGGAATTATGATCCTTAGCACAGTACTTCGAAGTATGTCTTGTTTTGAAATGTGTAACATACGCCGTCGGCATTTTTGGTGTAGTGGCTGTGACCAAGTTGTGAGGTACTGTGCATGTCCTGTGTGGATGCAGTGCTGCCTGAAGTACTGTCACTTAAGCTCGATAAGCCATCATATCAAAGAGGGAGCGTCGCCATATTGTCTTGTAGCTGTGGACTCCTACCCAGACTCTGGCAGTGTATTATTACATACAACAGGACAAGTGTATTCTAAGTTCTGTTTTTCAAATTGTACTTGTACACTGTAAGACTGGTGCACAGTTTGTCACGTAACCATGGTAACTGCCTCCTTTGCGCTCAAGCATTGTATGCGGTGAAGACGAATGAAGTTTTATCCCATGATCCTGTCTGATTTTGCCTGCAGTGATGCTATAGACCCATGGCACTCCAGCACGTTTATGTGCTACATCTCCGGGCACTACCGCAAGGGTGAGTCACAGATAACCACATATGCTAGGTATCTCTTCTACTACTAGTTCAGCACTGCTGAACAGCGCAATGCATGACACGGTCCCTGTTCACCGACGCACAGATCGGAATGCATGTAGAGACTGGTTCGATTTCCTCTGCGGCGAGTCACGTGATCACAAGTTATCCTCCGCCAAGCTGGGATGTAGCCCGGCATGTATGAAAGTTATCCTCCGCCAAGCTGGGATGTAGCCCGGCACCGGCATGTACATGTATGAAATAATTCTGCAGTACTTCTGAAGTACAATCAAACGTCGTTTAGATCTGAGAACGAACTTCAAGGGACTGGGCAAGTTTGTTTGTCTTATCCGGAGTTCTTCTTATCCAGATCTGACAAAAAATTGATATGCATATCATATGGATTTTTTATGTGAAGGTGCAGCGGCTGTGAAGGTGCAGCGGCTGTGAAGGTGCAGCGGCTGTGAGTGTGGCAAATGTAAAGCATTGTTCATAGAATAACTGTTATGTCCCCTTGCGGACTAACCGATACCATTACACTCACAGTGCATCCTTACTGGCACTCACAGACACTATCATTTGGTAGACATTGCTCTTGGCCAGGTAAAACAACAACCAATCAGTACTCGAGCATGCGCAATACAGTACCCGCCTGTATAAATAAAAAATAAATTCGACGGGTTCGCGTACCGGGCAGGTCAAGGACAAGGAGTCGTATAACTCCCTGGTCAAGAACCACCTTTCCGCTTCCGTGGGACGCCACCACCCCATGGTAGATTAGATTATAACTAGCCGCATACACAACAACTGCCCCCTTTCAAGAATGTTCCAGGGGAACATTCTACCACAAATAAATACCTCAAAATCATTGAAGCAACACATAAAATAAGTTCAAGACAAGTTCATCAATCCACCGTACGAGAATTCTTAAACTATGTCACGACACTACAGTAATAATTTATTATCTGACGCAGGAATCCGTTAGTCAATATTAACAAAAAACAATGCAATTCAAAACCTTTTTAAAGTAATGCAATGAATAAACTATGTGTGCACTCATATCACAACCATAGCAACGAATATAGTATTCCAGAACGTTTTCTTGTCACAATTATCAATGGAATTCGTGACTAAAGGAGATGATGAAACTACGATAGGATTTATGCACTTGGAGTGAAAAAACGAGGATACAAGAATAGTAAGAAAAATAGCACAAACTTTGGAAAAAATTGCACTGGTAATAAAAACTATACAGGTGAGAAATGATAGAGGGGAGGGGTGAGTGCTGCTGTCCATGTTTGCACTGGATGACGTTATCCTATAATAAATATTTCTTTTTCCACCTCAGTCACCGTGGACAGTGATAATACATGTAGGAGCAATTAACTGGATACGGTCTCAGCCGCTTGTCTTTGAAAATCACCGTGACTGTCAAATTTGAAGGCCGAGCCTCCAAAATGCAATCATGAATTCCGCAAGGACCCTAAAGGTCTGACGTGGAATTTAGGTTGCATAAAGAGGTGAGGCTGAGAATGTGACAGTGCCCCACCCTCCCAGTGCAGTGATACCCCCCGGCAGAACACTGTCACAGTAATACATTCAAGAAACGGCTCAGAAAGGCCAACGAGATTCTGGGAGGGGTTGGTTTTGGCAGGAAATGAGGCTGAATGTGTTTGTCTTTGAAACGCTATGAATTATATGAAAACGGAGCGATTTTGGGCCTAACACACTGTCACATTCTCAGCCTCACCTCCTTATGCAACCTAAATTCCACGTCAGACCTTTAGGGTCCTAGAGGAATTCACAATTTTCCGCAAAGGCGTAGGTTGCACCTTTTGCATGTATTACTGTAGGCTAATGCTTTGCAGCATTACTTACGGAGCACTTCAAGCCGAATGTCAGTGTGTTGGCGGCGATACATAGGTTCCAGAGAACTTGTCAAAAGGACGGAGAGTCAGCGACACAATATGCAGCTAGACTAAAGAAAGCAGTTATGGATTGTAAGTTTAACAGAGCACTCAGAGATCAGTTCGTTGGTCTGAAGTCAATGAGTGTCACGAAGGAGATCTTGATCAAAGCCAAGGAGACCTCAAGTTTGGCGGACGTCGTGACGATGGCATCAGCCTATGAGACAGCGCCCAGAGAGTCGGAGCAATTGACGGCATCAGCCTATGAGACAGCGCCCAGAGAGTCGGAGCAATTGACGGCACAGCCCGTCCACGCCGTCCGTTCGACTGGAGCATCGTGCACGTCGACGAGCAAGCAAACTTCGAAGCCGTCAGACGAGAATTGTTTTCCGTTTGACAAGTCTGGTCACAAACCGGAAGAGCCGCCGCTTCACATGGAAATTTGTGCCTCGGTTCGCAGAGATTGCTGCACCACGGCACAAATTACTCAGGAAAGAAATGAAATGGCAATGAGGCAAGGCAGAGGAAGAGGCATTCCAGGCCTTGAAAGATGCAATGTGTAAGCATACCCGATTAGTGCACTACGATGTCAAGAATCCAGTCACACTCCAGGTCACGGGACGCTTCTCAAATGGGTCTAGGGGACGTACTACTGCAAAGGCAAAAGAATGGTGATGTTTTGCTGGTTGCTATGGTGATGTTTGCTGGTTGCTATGGTGATGTTTTGCTGGTTGCTACGTTGTATTGTATGGTAATCAGTAGCGCAGTGTTGGTACAGTGTTGGGTGCTTCTTCTGTGCTTTGCAGATGCTTCTGAAGATTCTGGTGATGACCGTCACTTTCTCGTTGATGCCGAGTCAGAAATGTCAGCCTGGTGAGTGTCTTGACTTGTATTTTGACTGTAGCCGGGTGAAACGATTATACCGAATACTGTAAGACATGTATATATAACGAGGAAGCAAATCTAACGTTTTAACGGATGACATTTCTTCGTTATAATAAGATCCGTTGAGGCCGTACAGGTTCATATATGCTGTATGTGGATATGCCGAAATACTGCAAGATCGTTAATATATCTTCTCGTTAACCTATGAATTTTGCACAATCGTTAAATTTGCAACTCGTTATAATAACATGTCTTACAGTAATCAAAATAGAAATCGTTACGATTATTCGAAAAGTTTTGATTGCTTGATTATGCATACAGGATGCATTATTATACACGTATGATTGTAGATCGACAGATGTGAGAGGAAAAAACTCTCTCCTCCACAGGATCAATATTAAAATTCTAAATTTTGCATTTTTTTTTCAGCTTCTGATACTGTTTTTATCTGCGGAAGAAATAATCGAAAAGTAACCGATAACCGATCGATAACGGTTTAGGTTATTCGGTAGTCGAAAGGTGTAATCGTTTCCCCCCTACTTGAATATTCCTCATCCTCTTCATCCAGCCTCACCTCCCCCTCGTTCTCCTTGCCCTCCTCCTCCTCCCTCACATTCCTCTTCTTCACCTCCTTGCTGTCTTCCTCATATTTTTCTTCTGTCTGGTAACTTCCCCTGTCTCTATGTTGCATGGTTCAGTCACTCAGTGTAGCACCCATGAACCGGGCGATGGTTTTGTGACTTCTGCTGGATCTACTTAGAGCAGCATGTTGGGGGTGATACATCCACTGCACTGGACACTGGTTGTGCTTCAACATTGTATGTAGATACATCCACTGCACTGGACACTGGTTGTGCTTCAACATTGTATGTAGCGCACTGCTCAGTGATACATCCACTGGTTGTGCTTCAACATTGTCTGTAGCGCACTGCTCAGTGGTACAGAGGAAATCAGAATGGGTGCGTGGCCATCGCCGTCTAGCACATTTTAAGCTATGGAAGAATGAAAAATGAAGAAAATGGTAATACATGTACATTCATATCTCTCTTATCCGGACCTGAAAGGCACGGTCACTTCGGTCTACCGGGCAACCTGTAGGTGAGGGTTTAGTGGAAGTGTCACTACTCTTTGTGGAAGTAGTAACATCATATCTCAGATCTCTGGTCAGGCTTCCCGATCATAATGTTGTCCAGAGTTCCGGGCATGTCCAAGTTATGGCCGGGCAGTCATAGTCACATCTGGCTGCGGCCAACTACCCTTCACGTTGTGTGTTGTCGCTATTGCTGTCTATGTCTCTGTGTGTGCCAGTATACGTGGAGCGAGAAAGATATGGGTCTATCCAATTCTTTTCTTTACTATCCAAGTGCGTTTGATGTCCTCGCTTTCAAGCTGTACTGTGTGCTCAAATGCTGGATTCAAGTGTAATGAATGCGTGCATTCATGCATGTGCATCTGTTCTAGCATTGAACATTGAACATTGAACATTGAACTGTCACCATGACACACTTGGCCTGTTTGTGCATGTACCCGTTGCAGGAAGACTTCACAGGTCACAGCTTACCAGCAACAGGTTGCACTGTTTAAACGAATGAAATGTCACATTCAAGAGTTGGAAGACACGGTAAGGAAGAATTCATCGTTTCCCTTTCAGAATCCCTTCTGGACAGCTGTACGGCAATCATGTAGAACCACTGGGTGAACATACTTTGTGGTGTAAGAATTGCCCTGTCACAGCTGGTTCATAATCTTCAGTGGACCTGCTTTCAACCAGGAGGTAGAGCAATGCTCCATCTTTTTTTCTCTTTTTCTCTCTCTCTCTCTCACTCTCTCTCACGGGGGAGACGGTAGCAGCGAACACGAAGGGTGGCGACCGGTGTACTATGCAAGTCACAAGCTAAGCGGCCCAGAATCTCGCTAGCAGCAATTGAGAAAGATGCATTGGCTGTGGCATGGGGGGGGGGGGGATCAACCGTTTCCGTATGTTTGTCACTGGCACCAGTTTCGCAGTGATAACTGATCACAAACCTCTCATTCAAGTCTTCAAACCAACGTACTGTCTCGTGAACGCTAACTTGCGTGTGCAGAAGCTGGTTATGAAGAAGCAAGACCTCAGCTTTACTGTCGCCTATCGTCCTGGTACCCAGAATCACATAGCAGAAGCGTTGTCACGTCTTCCAGTTGAGCCTGCGGATCCCACTGATGCATTGGTCCACGCTGTAACCCTTGCGTGTGGTTTGCCGACACCTCAACGCAAGTGAGTTGCGGAGTTGACCGCACAGGATGACACGCTCACAGCAGTTCGCACAGCTCTTGAGACGTCTCGTTGGCCAAAGACAGCTAAGCAAAGCTCACTCCATTTGAAGCACTTCGGCATGAGCTCAGCTTCTGGCCGTATCCGAACTCTAACGGCTTTGTGATTTGCCGTGGTGATCGCCTCGTCATTCCTCTGGCTGCTGTTGACAGTGTTCTGAAGCTGGCGCATGACGGACATCCAGGGCGTGACAAGACCCTGCAACGCCTGAGAGAGTGTGTTTGGTGGCCCGGTTGGAGCAAGGATGCCCGTCAAATGCTCGAGGAATGCACACGGTGCATGTCCAATGCAAGTGTACGGCCAGCTCCGCTCAAGCCAAGAGAGCTTCCCCACACGTGTGTGTGTGTCACACGGTTTCTGTCGACGTTTTCTATTACCTCGGCATCCCGTTTCTCAGCTGCCTGGATTCGTATTCTTGCTACCCTACTGTTGTTCGCCTCGGCTCGGAAACAATGGTGGCGATCACGAAGGCATGCGATCAGATCTTCGCTCTATTCGGTGCACCGCACAGGTTGATTTCCGACAATGGGCCAAAATTCACAAGTACCGCGAGTGCTCCCAGCTGAAGAGAAAGCTGGAGGAAATCGTCGCATGTTCTGCCAATGCATCTACTGGCCCAATAAAATGCGTCATTTGTAAGAAAACCAGGAACTACGAGAGGCGCTGGTGAAGATTGAGGCTGGCACTTCCCAGACTGAGTGCAGGCAACTGGATGAGTGCCAGTCTGAACTGCGCGAGGATAAAGAGCGTCTGAGGCGCGAGTCTTGCCGACAGTTTATGCAGTCCCTTCACTTGGAGAATGCCCAGTCGGGTTTGTTGCAGCGACGTCATCTCGACCGTATTCAGCCGCAACCTGGTACAGCAGCCATTGCCGACCAGTACGTCCAACAAATGCCGGCAAACCCGTACCCAGTATGATTGGGCAGCTAAGTCTACGACGACAGCCAGGCCTGGAAGGAAGCCGTCGCTGACTCCGTCTTTTCCCCAAAAGGGGAGAAATGTAGCAGCCTTGCTACCATGACTTGTGCATGTGTTTGTATCATGACGTCCACAAACCTACTCTGTACTGTAATACCAGATATTTAACGTCAATTAAAGTTAACGATTCCCGAATTTTTGTGGGTTAACGAGGTGAAATTCAAACGAATTCTGTCTCAAAACCAGCATGCTGATACTGCACTGTACTCTAGCTGTAGATCCGCTCTGAGCTCCTCACGCACGGGATCTGGGTCGGAGTTGGCCCTTGTTGTTTAGGAGTTCTTTGGAGAAGTAGAGAGACTCGGGAGCCCGAGATGCTTGGCTGTTCACATTCCTCTTGAGTTGTGTTCCGTTGTATTTTATTATGTAACCTGAACCCAGCCGGCTGTTTCTCTCTCTCTCTCTCTCTCTCTCTCTCTCTCTCGCTCTCTCTCTCTCTCTCTCTCTCTCTCTCTCTCTCTCTCTCTCTCACTCTCAGGTGTCCAAACAGCAGAGTGAGATTCGCTACCTAACGGGCAAACTCCGGGCCTTTGAAGAGTCTATAGGTATGGTGTGAATCATGTGCAGCTTTGCATGATCTCAATCAGTCTCATCTACCTTGTAGTGCTACTGTAAATGTAGGCCGCATGTCTACATTAATCATTATAGACTTTGAGAAAATCCTCTGATTGTACAGTCAAACCTCGTTAGGACGAACTTCAAGGGACTGAACAAATTTGTTTGTCTTATCGGGAGTTCTTCTTATCCAGATCTGACAAAAAATCGATATGCATATCAGATGGATTGTATTTACGTGAAGGTGCATGCTGTGGTAAACGTGTACATGGGAAGCATGTCATTCTTAGCATAAGCCAGAACAAGGTAAGTACAATGACAAAGTGCAATGAATCACGACTGTGCCGAAAGTTGGTACAACGTACTGATTGATTTGTTCAAAACACGCTTGAAAGCAATTTGCACTGTACGTACAATACTAGTATGACCTCGACTATTGAAAAAAAGAAGAAGAAAAAAAGCAGCCAGCGCACGCTCGTGGACCGAAAGTTCGTACTACATGTACATGACCACACTGACTTTGTTCAAATCACACTTGAAAATAGTTCGTCTTCGCGAAAGTTCGCTGTACAGAAGTTCGTCGTAAACGAATAATTTTGACTTGAATTGATGCCTGGCCAACCATAGGATTGACCTTAGTTCGTACTAATGGAAAGTTCGCCTTATCCGTGTTCGTCCTAACGAGGTTTGACTGTAGTTCAGATTTGTTTAGTTAATGTGCTTCCAGCCGATCATCAGACCATTCTCTGTTTCATTCTGTATTCATGTTGGTATACAGACACTAGAAGTGCTGAAGATGCAAGGTCCGGCAGAGCTGACCATGCTGCAGACGATGACATCGCTATTAAGCAACTAGATCTGCTCCCGGGACTGGTCAGAAAGTCAGCAGGGGCCGTCTCCCGCTTTTGGACGCTGGACATGAAGGGCATGGACATGAAGGGCAAAGTCAGCACGAAACATAATTATTGATACATCGTGTGCTCCACCCGCAGCACCCGCAGCAGCTACCTCGCACCCCAGTACATGTACTCTTAGAGTCGCTCTTCTCACTGTGATCACCACCCCGCCCGGTCATGCAGTCTTGACCTGGGGTTCTAGGACCCGGTCATGCTGCCTTGACCTGGGGTTCTAGGACCCGGTCATGCTGTCTTGACCTGGGGTACTAGGACCCGGTCATGCTGTCTCGACCTGGGGTTCTAGGACCTGGTCTCTCTCTCTCTCTCCTCTTTCACTTTCTCCTCTCTCGTGTTTTTTGTAAATAATAAAACCGGAACACAATGAATGAGGTGTTGTTCATAGTCAGTGGGGGACTGCACGAGGTATTTATCTTCAAGAGGTTGTTTTGCATAATTATTCTCTCTTCCACTAATGAGACATGTGTGCAGCCGATACGAAATCACACCGTAAAGAACATGTTTAAAAAGATCTATCATTCTCAAGACCTCCTTCTATCATTCTCAAGACCTCCTTCTATCATTCTCAAGACCTCCTTCCTCCCTGTACAGTTACTACAAGTATACCCAGTCCAGTGCAGTGCAGTGCAGCAGTGCACTGCACTGCACTGCTGCACTGCACTGCCGCAGTGCACTGCTGCACTGCTGCACTGCACTGCAGTGCAGTGCAGCAGTGCACTGCGGCAGTGCAGTGCAGTGCAGCAGTGCAGTGCAGTGCAGTGCAGCAGTGCAGCAGTGCAGTGCAGCAGTGCAGTGCAGTGCAGCAGTGCAGTGCAGTGCAGTGCAGTGCAGCAGAGTGCAGATCCATACTGCACTGACAATAGACAGCTACCGCTATCCGTAACGCCACAAATTAAACTGACACTTGCTTCTTCAGTTCTTAGTTAAGCATCCACTGCTGCTGGCTTTGCTGATGAATCCTCGGAGCTGGTCTCCGCGCCACCGCCATCCTTAGCAGCAAGGGCCTCTATTTTCTGCGACACATCATCACCTGTGGGCGCCGAGAGGGACGTGGATGTTTCCGTCTTGCTTGTCGCCTCCTCAGGTTTGTCACCACCACCCCTGCGCTTTGCCCTCCTCTTGCGCAGGTCATCTAGATCGCTCTTCATACTGTGGAAGAAATCGGCCTCAGCCTTGGCAACTGGGTCTTCATCTCCATCTCCTTCACCTGCTTCACTTTAGAAGTGTAAACATATCCAGAAAAAAACACAAGGATCCAAAGGATATTGTCAGGGGATTGAGCTGCATGTGTTGATGGCACTCATTTTCAAAATACTGCAATTTTGGCGCTTTAAACAGTAGATCCACTGGCATAAAAGCTACACGCAATCCATGATGTAGGTCCTAACCTTCAATAGCTACAGCACTTCATTATGTGCAGAAGTTCAATAGCCTACGAGCAACATGCAAAGCATATAATTCTATTCCACACAGTCACCTCGCCCTACTCCACCAAGGCTAGGGTACATGTGTACAATACAAGTTTGCTCCAAATAGTGTCGTCGCTTTTACCCAGGTAGTGTCGCTTATACCCAGGCGCGTGCCCCGTATGGGTTCCTGGGTGCCCGGAACCCCCCCCCCTTTTTTCGCTCAAAATGTAGGATTTTGCTTCATTTTTTGAACAATTTCCCGGGGAGGCCCCCTGGAACCCCCCCCCCTTGAAGGGCACCAGCACAGGCGCCTGCTTATACCATAGCCGGCATAGGTATTGTACCTGGCTTGTGTAAGCATCGCATTGGCTGTCATCTGGTGATCTGCTTGTGTACTTTTTTTTGTTGCATTGCCAGTACAATAGCAATCATCTCCGATACTTATGTATGTCGGTAATGGGAATTTATCACATTTGAAAAGTATGGATGACAAGCACTTTGCTTTGCACTCACGGATATTTGCTTTATGAGGAAGTTCATGATGGGGTGACTTTGTGATCGAAACCTGGCCTCTCTCTTTCTCTTACTTCTATTTATCTCTCTCCGTCTCCCCCCTTTTGTGTGTGTGTGTGTGTGTGTGTGTGTGTGTGTGTGTGTGTGTGTGTGTGTGTGTGTGTGTGTGTGTGTCATTAGTGTTCAGCTTACACTTCGGGAGGTGGGGCTCTGGCCTGTTTCTCTTTTAACTTTAGTTCGCGCTGTCGGCCCTCCAAGATCTTCTCTCGACGTGTTTCACGTTCCATGATCTGTGACCGGGCATGGGAAAGAAATCCAGAAATGATTTCAGTACACTGTGACGAATAACTTTTGTCTTGAACTATAATTATGTGTGTGAGTTGTCTGAAATTCAAATGACAAAACAAAAACAACAATGGGTGTGTAAGCGCTACATGAGCTGCGCTGGTGAGATGCAGTGGACTCCCCCGACCAAGTGTCTCGGGATCGGCATACACAGCAAGCACTAACTTTTGTCTTGAACTATAATAATTATTATGTGTGTGAGTTGTCTGAAATTTAAATGACATCATTTTGGTAAACAAATATTGTCTGTAGGTAGTAGTTCCTCCGCCGCGTCATTGAAATTGGACATGGGGCCACACTGAAAAAAGTCTGTGGTTCGACTCACCCGACCAACCGTACATTTTTCAGCCCGACCGTAACTTTTTTTTCGGCGGGCTGTCGTGTGACTGACGTACGTGGACTGAACACGTCCACGTCTACGTGCTGTGCAGCGTGAGTCTGCGGACGCAGGCGGCTCCTTTTGGACTTGACTTGTAGTTGTACTGCAGTGCAGTGCAGTGAGTGGTACGACTGCTGCCTTGTGCTGGCAGTAGAGTCTACTCGATACGACCACCGGCAGACTGGCGAGACTTATTTTGAAGTGACCGTCCGGTTGAGAGGGATTGCCTCGTTCCAGATTAAGGTGATCCCTTTATACAACATGTATGGCATAACACTGCGTAATAATGCCGATGTACTGGGTGTCTAAAGGCAGTACAGTGTATTTACATGTACTAAAAAATATATTTTAAAAAAAAAATCCGCCCGCCCGCCCGTAAAAAAAATGTCCATGTTAGTCGAACCACACACCTTTTTTAGTTTGGCCTGGTTAGCATTTTACCGTTCACGCTAAATTCAACGGTACTCGTACCCAACACCCAAAATACCGTTGGTGTGGTATCGTTTCGACGATAGAAAGCTCTGTTAGTGTTTAGCGGGAGAACGGAACGGTAAGATTCCAACTAGGGTTACGTCACAAGTCGATCGTTGCGTCAGAATCCGAAATGCTAACCATGAAAACACACAAAAAACGGTACAGGGCGACGGGTCGAAGTAATAGACATGGTTAGCATCTTACCGTTCACGCTAACGTCGACCGTCGACCTGGACCGTTTTTGTGTGTTTTCAAGACATGGTTAGCATTTCGGATTCGGACGCAGAGATTGACTTGTGACGTAACCCTAGTTGGAATCTTAACGTTTCGTTCTCCTGCTAAACAGAGCTTTCTATCGTTGAAACGCTACCAAACCAACGGTATTTTGGGTATTGGGTACGAGTACCGTTGGATTTAGCGTGAACGGTAAAATGCTAACCATGGGTTTTTTGGGTTTTTTTGCAAAGTCCACTATGCTCCCAAAGGAATGCGGAAAGTGGTGGCGGAGCCCTGCTGCTCAGCCGACCTTGGTGGTCTCGGCGTCTGCACAGACAAAGCGCGCCAAGAAGTGTTTATTGTCGCTATGCACATCGCAATGTTTGTGACTTGCTCATCTTAGTCAGACTTTCGGAATCGCTGTTTTCTGTATTCGAACATTGGTGCGACCCTTCCTTTTATCTGGAGTTCAACGAGTCGTGCCGTCCCACATCGTTCGCGTGGGCATTTATCAAGACTGCACGCTCGGGTATAGGAGTCCTGGTATCTCTCCTGAATTCGAAATGCTGAAGTTGATGATGGCAAGAACAACGTGTTCTCAAATTCCTAAATTGCGTTACGTATGGCGCATGTTGCTGAGAATGTAGCCGCTCTGAAAACACCAACAAAATCAGCGAAGCGCTTGCCAAGGAAAGAAGGTGCGGAACTGTTTACTAGTAGTAGTAGTACCCTGTTCCACTGGGAGGTCGGTACCATGGTTACAGTGTACTTGAAAAATGCTAGTTTGCCGTCATCGCCTGCCATGCCACCTGGAGGCATGGATCGCTCGAAAACGAAGTTTCTCCCATGACCTGAATTTGAACGCGCGTCACGGCTTGTTCAGTGTCTTGTTGAGTGCTCAAGGGTCTGCCTCAAACTCTGGTGAAGACGTCGACCTTAGCTGCAAATGCAGCTAAGCAGGAGGCCACAAACTAAAGCTTGGTCCGTCGATAAAGATCTACTTCGAAGTACCTCTAGCTGATTTCTTTGCCCTTCGAGTGGACCCGTACGGTTCAGATGGTCTCAACAGACCGACGCTCTACCAACCGTGGATGGTTGCAGAAAGGCAGTCTGTTTCCGAACACGGTGTCCTCCACCTTGTTCCATGCTGTCAACCAACACTGAACATGTTTGAACAAACTGACAAGGTTTATCTAATACCATGCCCATGATTGTGTACAGACAGTACGTCTGTTTGTGTATGTCATCATGACTACGTCGTGTGTATGTCATCATGACTACGTCGTGTGTATGTCATCATGACTACGTCGTGTGTATGTCATCATGACTACGTCGTGCGGGTGAAGTTATCACTTGCATGTACATACGTTGAAGTACTACCAGGCCGGTCCAATCGCATGTAATGATAGCCGTCTATAGCGATCAAATCACACTTCTTCAAACACCACCGCTATAACATATCTCTACCTGTACATGTTTTGTAAGTCACATGCAGCCTTCTGTGTGAGCAGGCATGGCTTCACACAGAGTATTTAAAAACAAAACACTTGCAGACACTGTTCCCTTACTGCTGTGAACGCACTCTTCTCATTGTTTACAGCCGTGCGCAGGCTTTCGGAGAGCTCGACCAGCGTGATTGAGCCGTTCTTTGCGCCGCATACCATTAGCTCTCCTTGGTCCTGTACGCGGACACTTGTTAGAGCACTGTTGCAGATCTAGAGAGCACAAGATGGAAGCAAAATCATATACGACTATCAGTACAGGGAATCAGGTATGTTTTATGAATTGCGGGCACTGGTCTGGGTTCGGCAGTTGATTTTTTTACTAAGTCCACTATGCTCCCGAATGCATGTGGAAAGTGGCGGCGGAGCCCTACTACTCAGCCTTCCTTGGTGGTCTCGGCGTCTCAGGCACAGACAAAGCGCGACAAGAAAAATAGAGAAGGGCATAAGAGAGAGGGAAAACAAGACAAGAGCAAGACATGTATACGGAAGTGCTGCGCCCACACATCCACTGCAGAAGGGTAAAGATTAAAAGGTATGTTGGAAAGGGGAAATGGGTGGAAATCAGAACTTAAGCTAGGAAGGTCAGTATAGCGTGTAATCTCACATGACAATTTCATACAGACAAGATCCCCGCCGTGCAAATGAGTTGATCATAGCAAATTTGGGACACTAGGAAAATCAAAGAGCGTCAGTTGCTCGCTGCCAGTCAAGGCACAGCAGGTAACTATGGCACCTTTCCTTGAAGGACTGCAGCTGTCGTGGGTGCGGTGCGGTTCGCAAGACGTGTCCTGGCAGGCTGTTTCATGTTGGGATGGCACCGGCAATCGGGGAACCCATTGCGGAGGCTGCTTCGTGTTCGTGCCGGGAGTGTTGACTTTCAAAGCTAGTCCGGGTGTTGCTGAGCGGTCTTTGTAGCCAGCCTGATCGATGGTCTGTGCGGAGGGCGTGGTTTGGCTGGGGCTGGTAGCATGGCCTTAAGCGGATTCGTCTGGGGAAGATATGATACCTTGAAAAGGAGCGACAGAGATGCAACCATTCTGCGGTGCTGCAGGCTGGGAAGCCAAACTCCTGGGCCGGTGATTTTTAGCGCCCTGTGCTGCATCTTGTCCAAGCGGGAGGCACTGGAGCCCATCCACACCAAGGTGCAGTACTCTACAAGTATGAGAGGGCGGATAAACCCCTTGTACACGGTTGTGCGAACTCTGGCGTCTAGGAGGGGGGGGGGGCAACCGGCTTGGCAAGGAAGTGGAGCCGCTGGGCAGCCTTAGTCGCAATGGAGTGGAGGTGGGTAACCCCCCGGTTGAGAAGGACAGCTGGGTATCAAAGGTGACACCAAGCAGCTTAATATCCCGCTCCTCCGGGATGGCAGCTCCTGCAAACAGTACTGGTGGCATAGCCGGGGTTCCATTCATTACCTTTTGATCTCATGGATTGCACGTGTACATCTGTCTGACTACAGTCTGTTCATGAAACACATCGTGACCATGCTCTACCGTAGTGCACCACCATACCTCGTGCCTGCACAGGGTAACCGTTACATGTCTTGCTTTGAGGTTGTGCGTTCAATATTATAAGATAATAGCAGAGACTGGGTTGGACAGGAAGGTCCAAGGGCTATTGCTTCCTCTGGGATTGATTGTCCATTCCTGCAGACAACCCAGTCCCTGGGCTAACGGCGAAACCTTCGGCAGGCAAGCATGTGATAATTGTGTGTTGGAGCAGAGAGTTCACCATACTGTCCTTACCTGTGTTGTGAGTGTGGGTGCTGCTTGGTTCTGTAGCAAGTCCCACGTGTCCAGATATCCATTCTGCTTGGCGGTGAAGAACACAGCTGGCCGAGTGGGACTCCAGCAACCATCCGACAGGAAGGACTCGTCGCTTCTGCAGGCGCACGGGCAGCGTGTGGTGTAGGAAGCATGCACAGCTGTTGTAATAGTTTCCCACAAGGCAGGAAATGTAGGAGGCTTTTAACAAAGCTAAATTAGCTAGGTCTGTTACTGACTAGCGGCCACTCTAGATAATGCCCAAAAATATCTGGGAGCGAAGTTAGGTAGGTAGGGGGTGGGGGTGAAGTCTAGTCTGATCAACCATGGCAGAATTTACATCACAACCAGTACTCGTATCCCAACGAGGTTGGCTTTTAGAAGCTGTACATGAATTACAGTACATTCAAGCAAAACATCAAACCGTGACCGAAATGATAAATGGTTATGCTTCTAGACCTTCTTCTAGCACCACGTAGTGCTCCAATCATTCCACGTATTGCTCCATTCATTCCACGTAGCGCTACAATCATTCCACGTAGTGCTACAATCATTCCACGTAGTGCTCCACTCATTCCACGCTCATGCCTTCATACAACAAGAAGAGGAAGATTGGATTGCAACTCCAATTTTCACGCACGAGGCAATCATCCGACAACTGCATGCCTTCATAGACGGTCTACTTACTGATTCATAAAGTGACCGTACCCGTGACCACCACTTTGGAAAACTAGGAACACTGTGCCTTACCTTGTCCACAGGATGGAAGTTTCTTTGATGTCTTCAGACCACATCTGTAGGGCAACGGGAAAAAAAACACCCTAGTTGACTGTTTACACTCAGGCTGTCTCACCATAAAAAGGAGCTGCACTAACTGCCTTGCTGCCATGGTACAAAGCAAAGCAAGCATCGCCAGGCTAAATCTAAGCTTGCAGCTAAGCTTGCAAGTTTTTAACCTGGCCCGGTGGGTTCGATGAAACTGAATTGCCCAAAAACTCAGATGACTTTATTCTCCGTTTCAGTGATTGGTGTAGCCTGGGGAGTGATTGCTGTAGCCTGGAGAGTGATTGGTGTACTGAGCCTGGAGAGTGATTGCTGTAGCCTGGAGAGTGATTGGTGTACTGAGCCTGGAGAGTGATTGCTGTAGCCTGGAGAGTGATTGGTGTACTGAGCCTGGAGAGTGATTGCTGTAGCCTGGAGAGTGATTGGTGTAGCCTGGAGATGGCTAGGAGAGTGTTGTGAGTATGTATGCTGGGTTGTAACGGATGGCTAAAGTGGACTCTGCACAAATATATTGAGTAATCGGCGGGGCATGGGTAAATACCACATCAGACATGCACAAATCGGTCCTAATAGGCTTTTATTCCTCTGCAAGCAGGTAGACTACACTTCTTTCCACCAAGCATTTCATCCCGCAATGCCGGTATACCAATGCCAATGGCTTACCCGACATGTCCAGTCTCCAATGCTGAGGAAGTTCTTCGGTACAAACGGGTTTCTCTGCAAGAAGAAGAAAACATCACTGAGTGAGTTTCATTTAAAAGATACCACCGTCTGGGAAGAAACCTGACAACCGACGTGGGTTAAAGGGTTAAAGATAAAATTACGGAACAACAGACAGTTTTCCTGGTGTTCTGCAGAACACAAAGTTGGCAAAGGCACACTATTACCGGAAAGTAGTGGACCCCACATCCCTACGCCCAATGCCACATACCTGTACGGTGTAGACTGGTCCATAATGTCCGTAAAAGTAACCAGCAATCTTGTCAGCCGGCGTCTTGCCCTTCCGGTTGCATGTGATGATGGAGCCCTGCTCTGTACCCACCATGAACTTTGTAGGCTGCATGTGTGCACCGAACATGTAAATATATTATAGCATGTGCAAATATAAACACACATCGTTACATACACATACACACACGCACATACACACGTGCCCGTGCATACACTCATGTGCGCACACACACACACACACACACACACACACAGGCACACACACACACACACACATGCACACAGACACACACACACACACACACACACATGCACACACACACACACATGCACACACACACGCACGCAACTTTCTTCGCCCAGAATAGGAGTGAACACGTGATAATATCATCAGCCGTAAAGCAAAGACCATACCGGCTCTCAATCATCACTGTGCACCACAATGCCAAACACACAGCACCGGCCATATCCTGCAATCATCAATAAGGCATGCATAACAACTCACTGGAAGAGCTGATCAAGTAACAGATGCTGAACATGCGGAGCCCATTATTCTTACATAATGATAAACTGCACACAGTTGCTTAGAGTTGTCTGCATTGCATTGCTTAGGAAATCTTTAAAAATCGCCATTTTTCATCCACATTATCTATGTATGCCAGAACCGAGCAGACCCCACTATCCCAAGTCTGCAGGCAACGGAGACTGCTGTGGTTCGGCCATGTAGTGAGGGAAGGCGAAGAATCGTCCTCTTTCCAAGCCCTCCTAATGTCAATCAACACAACAGACATACGACGACCCCGAGGACGACCACGTCTGAGATGGATCGACGTTGTCAAGAAAGACTTACAATGCATTAATCTGTCGCTTCTGGATGCTGTGCAATCTGCTTCTGATAGAGCTGCTTGGCTCGAAATTGTCAACAGATGCGTTGACCTCATGCAATGAGTGATATGCGAACTGTCCTTATTATTGTTATTATTATTATTATCTGGAAAAGAAGAAAAACTCTTTTTTAATTAAACCCTTACCATTGTGGACTCAAACTCCAGAGCAGTTCCTCCAATTGTCTCTTTACCCGCCTTGCTTGCCAGAATGTCCAGTGACTCGTACGGCTCACTCAGCTTTCGGATATCCCACCACAGGACACGGCCATCAGTAGAGGTGCTGAAGAACTCAGAGCCTGCATACAAGCAGATTAATATGGATTTGGAATCTCAATATCTACCTCTGCACTCGTAGAAGCCTACTTCAAGCTGGATCAACAGCTAGCTCATCAAGAAGACTGCAGTTTTCAGTACTCTGTAATACAGTCGGATCTACCAAGAAAGGTTTCAGATGTTGTACTCTAACTCTGTTGCAGTACCATGGGAGTATCCGGGGGAAGGGAACGACAGTCCAGATTCTTCCCAGTCTTCTCCTTTCAAACGAATACACCCTTGAACAATGAATACTATAGTAGAAGAATGACTTGAAGAGGCTCCTACGCAGCAACATATAATATTAATACTGGTACAGAAACACGAGTAGCTGCACAGGGAAACTGTCATTGAATGTGCCGTTAGAGTGTCGCAGTTCACAGTGCACTCAGCACTCTCAGCATGCGTACTATGAAGGCCAAGTGGAGTGGAATTCATCCTGATTAGCAGGTGCTTGTCATCAATCATCATTGATGCAGAGTAGTATCCAAGATGGATGTGCACCACCATATCAAGCCGTTGACTCCTTTCCAAAAGCACCTGTAAGTCGTCACCAGTTGTTCCATGGTCCATCCAGGAGAAGTCGATGACCCACTCAGTGAGGCCTTACCTGACTTCGCGGAGAGGTAGACGACTCTGCGGACGGCATCGGTGTGGCTGTGCTCTATAGCCGACGTGTCAACGGGCTGGGAACCTTTGCGAAGATCCCAGAAAGCTGAAATAACACACAGCACAAGCATGTGCAGTGTTGTCAGTAGCCGATGTAAGCAGAAGAGAAACCCCGACCTGGAAATCACTAGCAAAGAATGCCCAGACAGGATGGACTGACGTCACGTGAACAAAGTGCGATAATGTGTGAATGAAGAATTGATATGTCAATAGGGAAATATTGTTGAGGTGTAAATTCAATGACACAGTCACAAGAGCCACACTCGGATCATGATAGCAGACCATCACACCACTGTACATGTTTCAACTTCCGTGCAACAATCGGCTATTGTCCATTATCCTTTCAAGGAATCCTAGACTATGGGCTTAAGGCATATGTGTAGTCACTAGTCACTCAGTTGCCAGGCCGCCTAACTTACCGACTTGTCCGTTGTAGAGGCCAGCAATGACAGTGTGGGCATCCTTTGGGCTGTACTCCAAACTGACTATTGGCGAGGACGGCTTCAGTGACATGTCAGGGCGGTTTGGATTGGCTGCAGGGTAGCCATGACACCGAGAACAGACACATGGTGATACTGGAATCTCTGTCCTAGTGGGAGATCAGCCAGTGGCAGTCTAAAGTGTTACCTGAGTAACTAGCACATTGATAGTCCGGACATGCTGAGTAACTAGCACATTGATAGTCCGGACATGCTGAGTCGGACATGCTGAGTAGCTTGAAACAAGCAGCCAACAGGCACAATCAGAGAACAGACCAGGGCATTGCCTTCTGTCACTAGCTTTTGATATTGTAGGCTGTAACTAATTACTTCCGTGATCTAAGATTACACATTTGGTTTCCTTGGGGCTCGTATCCAGCATGGTGATAATATCATGGTTTTGTGCATAGATCTTGTCATTGCTGACCAGTAAACAAATCTCCTTCCAATACCTATCTCAGATGCCGGATGAGCCCAGGAAAACTGTTATGACTCTTCAACATCTGATTTAGTTGGTGGACTCGATCGCATAACTTGTGCTAACATTTTTCCATGTTACATACCTATCTTCTCACCATTCATGTGACCACACCAGTGTCCCCTACCATTCCTGTCTCGGTGTTAGGCAATCCTGCTCGTTTTTAAAAGTTAACTTCGACGACAACAACCCAATCTACGAGACTTGAACGGTTCACCGTGAGTGAGAGCTGGCTTACAGATACCCCAGATGCAATAGTCTACCGTGAGTGAGAGCTGGCTTACAGATATCCCAGATGTAAGAGTCCAACTTGATGTTAGGATCACCGCGCTGAAAGTCCAGAATGGAGTAGGCCGCGGCTAGCTTAGAGCCACCGTCCGGACTCCAGCACATGCTTGCAACCGACCGGGACAGCTTCTGTTGGTCTCTGCGCGAGTGTGGACAAAAGAAATGAACACAATGGAACATGGCTAACGTCTCAGTGTGCTCCACCCGTCTAGAACACCTCCGAACAACACAAAGTAGCATAGCCAGTGGCTGCAAATGGCAATGTAAGACACACACACACACACACACACACACACACGCACACACACACACACACACGCACACACACACATGCACACACACACACACACACACACACACACACAGATCCCTAGATCCACGCCACGGTGATGCTCTGGCTGCGAGTGCTCATGCTAACCTGAATATGTTGACAACTTTAGCCTCGGGCATGGCACTGGCCACGTTGTCCTCCACATCGTCAAAGTACTCCTCGTAGATATCAATAGAGTTGTTCTGCTTGATGCAATGTTCCATGGTCTAAAGAAGACAACCGACCAGTCACAGTTCACAGAAATCACAGCCCATTTGTAACCAATGTACAAGGCCACCGGAGCTCCAACACTCGACGTTCACCTTCTCTCAAGCTTCCATGTACTAGCATGGTCAAGCATGACAATCATGTTGAGTTTGTGTCTGACACAGATTCTCTGCTAGGCCATGGTAATCATGATGCACTGGATGGACCCTTGGAGAACAAAACTCCTCCACTGACCGTCTCGTCATTACTAGTATTCTACCGCGGCCCAGCTTTGTTTCAAGTTACTGTGACAAGGAATCACAATAACGCACATGCATTTCAAACAAAAAAATCTACTCACGCAAGTGTAATAGATGCATGTGACGGAGCATGAGCATTCTGCTCAGTTGCTGTGTTGAAAATGTGCAACACGTTGTAGCAGCATGCTACACCACGGTCTACTTGTAGGTGGTCATAATAGTGTGCCTGTGCGTCACCCCGTGTGATAACAGTATCAGTGTCTGCTCTAGGATTGTAGGACAGCCGGGTACACGTGTACCTGGCGCAACCATTTCAACTGGGTCGGAGCCGGGTACACATGTACCTGTTATAACTGGTTGGTTGGTTTATTTTAATTCAGACAATAAACGGGAACTAGGCCCAATGATATAAAGGCGAATGGATAAGCCGCATTTAGAAAAGCGAGGACAGGGATTAGGGTCCGGCGGATTCTGCCGGCAGAAAAATTGGCAGAATTCGGTACTTTCTCTGGTAAGTTTCATCATGCATGTTTGGTATGTGGATAAAGAAATGGAGCAGAATTCGAGGAATTGCCCGCCATAAGGTTTGTATGGTTCTGCCAATTTCACTGCTTTTCGAGCAGAATCTGCCCCCTTTTCGAGCAGAATCCGCCGGTCCCTAACAGGGATTAGAAAATTACTAAAGAAGAAGAAGTATCTGACACGTACAAGCCATGTAGTCAGTCCTTTCAAAGTTCGAAAGTGTAAAGTACCAACCGGGTCACAGGTGACCCGGCACTATATTTTCAACCGGGTCCAAGCGCCGCCCAACCGGGTGGATTACCCGGCTCACCCGGCGCTGGAGCAGACACTGAGTATGTGTGTTATACTAGTGTATGCGCTTGTATGAAGAGTTGATGAGGAACCAAACATGTAAAATCACAATTAACCTGATGATTGCGAGAGCATGAAACTTCAAGTCGCAGCAAACAAGCCTTAATTGTCCTTGTTGCTCTGTTCTGAAATCACAATTAGTAAAATATACATTCGATATACTCATGCATCTACACACATCATCAATGAACAGCTTTTATTATCTAAGAACGTATTCTTGTGACAATCATCAGCTAGAATACGTCACTGAGTGAGTAGCGAATGAGAAACAGAGAGTATGTGCGTATAGCTGTGTATCTTACATTGCACAGTCTCTGGATGACTCCCATGTACACCTCGTCCTTCTCGACTTTCTTGCGAAACCGGATGGTCTGCTCAGCCTCCTGAATGTTGATGTCCTTTGGCCAGCCGCCCTCCACGTGACTCATGCCGTGACTCTCAGTCTCAAAACGTTCCGTGTTAGTCTGGGGAGAAGTATTATCCAAACACAGCACCACGGCATAGTAGTTAGTCCGCACAACTAGTGCATTGGTGCCACAGCAAAGATCACTGGCTGGAAGACCCGCTTGTGTATGGCATGCAGTGTATGTTTTCTTCAGACATTTTCCCAATAAAGCCGTGTCCCTGGGACGTTTCCCCTTGTTCCCATTCCATCATTATACCCCCCGCCCCCGCCCGGCCCATTCTATTGCCATTCGCCTCGTTCCACAGTATTACTAGTATTACTAGTAATACCTAGTATTACTAGTAATACTAGTATTACTAGTATTACTAGTAATCTTCACTAGTTTGAGGGAAAGAGACAAACGGGAAAAGTCTGAAGAAAAAATTTGACTGTCACCACCAGGACTCGAACCAGGGACCCTCGCTTGTAGCTAGCGATGCTCTAACCACTGAGCTATGGTGTAGTCGTCATCCCAGCAGAGACTGTTCAACATTTTCTTCAGACTTCGTAACTCACACTTCCTGTGAATCCACACAGGCGGGTGGGACGCAGCCCTCACTGTACCCACACACTTCACGTACACTCTAGCACGCGGGGAGCCCCAAGTCATAAAATCTTCACTAGTTTGAGGGAAAGAGACAAACGGGAAAAGTCTGAAGAAAAAATTTGACTGTCAATACTAATACTAGTATTAGTATTGTAGTAGTAGTAGTAGTTTCCACACTGGTCGGTTGGGCTTTTTGCTCCTCCGCTATTCTCTAATTTTCAACTCCACTGTTCAATTCAGTCGGTTTGAAACCTTTTCAAAGTACTTTACTTGTGACATGTGGAGTTGGCTCGAGTAGTTTGCTTCCTTCTGGGCTCGTCCAGCCCGCCAGTCCTTCATCCAGCTGGTTTCTTGCGCTGCGAATCGGCCATTATAGCCGTTGGTCCGTACTGGGCACGTTTGAGCGTGCGGGCCTTGGGCCCTGTTTGAGCTGGCTTGCTGTGCTGTGCACACGTTGTGGTTTGGCCCTGTACTGCCTGCAATGGCGCTCTGGATGCATGCTTGGTGTGGGACGAGTCGAGGTGACACTACTCATTGCATGTAGACGCACTGTTTACACCTAAGGCTAGGGCTAAGTCCTTGCATGCAGTGTGCCCGTGCTGGGTCTATGGGATGTCGCGGTCACGCGCTGTGAGCGGTCGACCGTGCTGCGCTTGCAGCAGAGCGTCTGGGACTTGCAAGTCATGTTCGTGTGCGTCGGATGGACGCTGCTGCAGCAACTGTTACCCTGGCAGAGATAATAAATGTACGAATTTTGGCAACGTGAATCTGCAGACCGCAGTTGTTGGAGTGGGTGCGGACGAATCGTTGTGTAGCGCTCCACCTTTTCGACCTCCTGGCTGGGTGCCCCATGGTTCCCGGGATGTGTTGGGCTCTGTTCCTCCGCCATCTGGCTCACACTCTCGCACAATAGCAACTCGGGGCTCTGCCTCGGCGGTGACGGCTGGGTCTGCACCAAGTTCCGGACATCAGTCTTCCCGTGATGGCGCATTAGGAGATCCTCAGGTGTCTCTTCCTGCCTCTGCATCTGCGCTGCCTCGCCGCGGCATGGTTGGGCATGTGCCAAGTTCCGGGCCTCAGTCTTCCCGCAATCGAACAACAGGAGATACTCATGCGTCTGCTCCTGCGCCGGTGTCTTCGGAGTGTTTGCGCGTGGATCTGCCGCCCCCACGATGTTCGGGGGCGAGTCGCCCTGTGCAGTCTGGGGATGGTGGCGACCATGTCGTTGCTGGGGTTGCTCATGCTCCCCTAGTTGCTTCTCTATGGTCACGGCGTGAGCCGACTTCCTGTGGTCCTGGTGCACCCAGTGGCCCAGGTGGTGGTGATCCTGGAGGGGATGGTGCCTGGTCCCTGCCGCCGGATGAGTTGTTTACCATTTTCAGCAAGATTTATGATGAGGTGGTGTGCTGGAGGCGCAACCTCTGCATGTTGCCGTTTGGAGCGGAGGGCTCGAGTTTTGTCCGGGAGCTTACACGTTTAATCAGCCTCTTCTCTGATGGCCTGCCTGGACGCCGATATGCCTGGTACGCTGTGGTCGCGGCCTGTCATTTGCTTCTCCAGAAGCCCCTGGGTGCCGACTCGTCTAGAGAAACCCGGAGGCATCTCGCAGGCCGAATGGAGCGGTGGAGGACTGGGGATTTCGACGGCTTATTGCGTGAGTGCCGTTGCTTGCAGGCACACTTACCAACCCGCTCCTCGTCCACGCAATCCGATGGGATAGACGACATTGTTTTCGCCGGAATGGTTAGCCATGGCAAAGTGGGCACTGCCACCCGTTATGTGGAGTCGAATGCCTCTGGAAGGGTACTTGACCTCTCTGAAGAGGCGGCGCCGGGGCGCCGGGTCCTTGATGTCCTCAAGGAAAAGCACCCCGCTCCAGTGGATGCTCAACCCGATATCCTTCTTCCCGGCGGCCCGGACCCACCTGAGCCGGTACTGTATGACAAGATCACGCCCGCCATGATCCGTAGACTGGCTTCTCGATTGTCGGGCGCTGCTGGGCCATCGGCCTTGGATTCTGCTGCCTGGAGGCGGATGATGACCAGTTACGATGGCGCATCTGATTCCTTGTGCGGCATTAGCTATGCCGTTGCCATCTCAACAATCAGGGCGAAGATCGGCATGTGTCTGCTCAGGTGGCAGATCACGTATCTCCGGGGATCCCGTACATCCTACCGGCGAAGGGCTGCTGCTCTCCTTGCGGAGATGCGGGCTGCTGCTCGCTTCTGAGCCCTTGGTTTCACTTAGCTCATGGTATTGTATCTACTTTTTAGTGTTGCCTTGTCCGTGATGTCGGTTGCTGTCAATTAATCTGTCAATGGGAACTTTTTAGTTTCAACAGTACTGTGATGTGTTGCTGGAGTAGTTTGCATTACCGGCAGTGTCCTGTCTTTTTGTATCGCTGGAGTAGTTTGTATTACCGGAAGTGTCCTGTCTTTTTCTTATAATTTAGGTGCAATTTAGCGCTTTTGGGTTATTTCTTTGTTTTTCTATTCTGTTTTTTTTTTTTTAACTTTGCGGTTATTTCTTTGTGTTTCTTCTTTTGCGCCGAATATTATTTCTTGAGTTTATGTTTCCGGTGTTCTTTTCTTTCTTTGCATCATCATTTTATGTGGTCAATAAAAACACGCTTCCAAGTATTACTAGTAATACTAGTAATACTAGGCTATTCAGACCAGAGTCAACTGTGACCACGTTTATACGACTCGAGACATGTTTGATCGACGATTGTACATTTGTTTTTTCTTGGCCGTAGTATGCCTAGAAAGCTTGTGTCAAACACATAATGTTAGACATATAACGGTACTAGGAGCTAATAGACACCCTTAGCAAACAACGTTATGTTGTAACGGTATTATCGTAAGGGGGAAAATACCGTGATTTGGGTTCGACCTTTAGCAAGATGCACGCTATTTTTAGTACGCTGTTGCCACGAGAATAGCTTTGATTTCGCGCTGTACAACCATTTTTGTCACCATATACGCGATACAAGGTGAAATGCGTACGGACTATGCAATATTTGGCTAAACCACGTACCGTTGGTCACAACGATAAATCAGCCCCCATAACGTTTATACGCTGCAGCTTCAACGCTATTTGGGTGATCAAGGTACGAGTACCGTAAAAAATAGCGTTACCGTTGTTTGCTAAGGGTGTCTAGTTACAGGTGGTAGCGGTATGGTCAGTATGCGTGTATCCCTTTGAGCGGGAACACTATCCTTCAAAGAACCACAGTGACGCGGCCATGACTTCCCCTCATCACCCGCCCCGTGGTGACGGTGAAAACAACTACTGCCCACACAGGCCTTAGTCCTTACTTCGTGTTCGGACATCTCCGGTGCGCTCTGGCACGCCGCATCGCACGGATTCTTGAAGACGTACTGGTCCAGCAGCGACGGGTCGGGCTCGATTGTACCGTCCTTGCTTGCTGGTGGGGTGTAGTCGGAGAACTTGCATTGTCGTCCGAACTCTCGCCTCTTCTTCGAGTAGACACTGGTTATTTCCATGACCGCTTAGATGATCGTACAGCCACTGTATGTGTACCCGGCCGGCTGGATGGATTACGATAAACGCGTGGAGACAAGATTGGATACAGTAACAGAGTCAGGGACTGGAGCTATGGGCTAGCCTAGCCGTCGATGTTCCAATTGAAGTGAAACACTTCTCAGCGGCTGAGCCGGTCATCCAGCGATCTCGCTGAATTTATGAACGGGCAGACACCGATTCCAGCAGCAGCTGATTGACTGCCGGCAAAGGTAAGCCTAGGGCTAGTAGTAATGGTTGCAAAAGCGTTCCGTTACCACAACCAAGGTAGTACTAGTAGAGACTGGCTGAGCATTCACAGACTCCGCCAACTCCGCTGTGGATGGTGATGGTTCGAGCGACGGAATTTCGATTGATTTCGCCGCCCTGTTGCCCGTGTTGGTAATGCGAAGCACTCCGTCCAGTGCAGCGGATTTTCACTCGGATTGTCGATTTGGCCGGCTTTACAGTCATAGCAGCAAGTCGTTTCAGCCGTGGCGGGAGGATTGTGGGACCCGGATAGCCACTGCACTGTGATTGAGAGCCATGCCAACTCTGTGACTTTGTTACAGACTCAGTTTGTGCTGGTTTGTAAGTCCATCGTACTTCATACTATCAAGTATCATAGTCGGAGACTGGAGACATACTGCTGCCGTCACCATGGTCACCTGACCATGGTGACTGACTGACTCACTGACTCAGTGATACTGGCAAGTGGCAGTGACTGACTGACTCTGACTGGCTGGGTCGGTGCAGTCCTGGTTGTGTGTCTGAAATCCCCGACCAGGTCGACCACGCCATGGATCCTTCCGTATACTTACGCCAAGGCGACTGATCGCCATGGCTACCAGTACAGTCAGACCTCGCTTATCCGGTCCTCGTTTATCCGGATCCCTCGCCATCCGGAAGGAAATAGTTGGTTACAAATGTACAGCATATGCCATGCTTACATACAGTATGTGTGTTCGATTATCCGGTTCCCTCGCCTATCCGGATATTTTTGTGGAAAACGGATGTGTGCGGTTATGCGAGGTCTGACTGTACAAGGTATGTGCACAGCCTCCCAGGGCAGCGTACATAACCATGATTGAATGATGTAACAATCAGACACGTAGCACCGCCGTTGTAGGTGGTCCGGTTGGAGGGGGTCTGGGGGTGTCCCCGGGGAAATTTTGAAATTAGGGTGCAAAATCCTGCATTCCGGGCACTTCTGGGCGAAAAAGTGGTCCGGCCAAAGCCGAACCGGCCGGACCGGCTGCTACGCCCCTGACAATACAGACACCGGAGAAGTGATCCCGTCCACCGCAAAGAGTGCTGAACAGTACTGGCATGCACTGGAGCTAGTACAAAATTCTCATGTGATCGCGGAACGAAAAGTCGACAGACCAAACTTTGTTGGATTGATGTTTTCCGCGAGTGTGTGTCTGATTGATGTTTTCCGCGAGTGTGTGTCTGGAAGTTCGTTGTAAGTTTCATTACTCATTCGGGGGGGGGGGGAAATCCAACGAAAATTCAGACGAATAGGGAAAGCGTAACTTGAAGAGGTTAGCGGAAACCTTACCGTTTAGGTTACTTTAGCAGAGGTAGTCCAGAGCATATCATCATCACTAGTACTACAGTGTTCGGCCTGCTGTACAGACCACAGTGACCTGGTGACTGAGTGTATGATAGCACTAGTGTACGTCAGTGAGAATAGACACTTCTGTACGTTGCAAAAGAGTCGCTAGACACACATCTTGATGATCTTGGATAGAATTTGTTGGCTGGGACAATTCGATATCAAGTAGATTTTCCTAAAAAAATTATACCTGAAGTACATGTATGTCAAGCAGCAGAATACATGAGCATGAGGGTACAGCAGGATATCTGGGGAACTGAGGAACTACGTTGACCAGTTTGAAGTAACATCCATATCCAAACACACAGTGACAATAAAATCTGGTTTACTGCAAATTTGACAATTAAAAATAGCTTCGGTTAGGATACGGAATCGGAATGTTGATGATGATGATGACGATAATTGAATACTATGGGAAGCACTGGCCCTTCCAAAACGCGCTCCCCGTGCACAATAAAAAGTCCTCACTCAGCCAAGCAGTACATCGGTATACTTGCATGATCATGTGACCCCAGGCGCACACAGATACAATCTGCATGACCGACATAGATATAGGTGGACTGATGAACAGGATCATTGCGCAACACCATGTCCAGGGCATACACTAGGATCATTGCGCAACACCATGTCCAGGGCATACACTAGGATCATTGCGCAACACCATGTCCAGGGCATACACTAGGATCATTGCGCAACACCATGTCCAGGGCATACACTAGGATCATTGCGCAACACCATGTCCAGGGCATACACTAGGATCATTGCGCAACACCATGTCCAGGGCATACACTAGGATCATTGCGCAACACCATGTCCAGGGCATACACTAGGATCATTGCGCAACACCATGTCCAGGGCATACACTAGGATCATTGCGCAACACCATGTCCAGGGCATACACTAGGATCATTGCGCAACACCATGTCCAGGGCATACACTGGCTGTGCCAGTGTTCAGAGTCACGGGCTGCTGGGCCGTTCATCACATGCCCTTGGGCAAGTGTATACTGATGACGGGCGCATTGAGCTCCATGATCTCTCGTTCGTCGCGCTCGTCCGGAGTGGCCTTGCGCGCAATCAAAGCGGCCATGTCACTCGCGTTCTTCTTCCGTTCAATGCGCTTGTTCCTCAGCTCAGTCCAGTTTTCTCTATAATCGGTCTTGAAAATAGTATCGTAAAGATTGACCTGCTCAATGGGATCTTTCTTCTTCTTCTTTTCTTCTTCGACGACTGGAGGAGGACTGAAGTGAAGAGAGGAGAAGCAGCAGAGTTCCAGGTTCAAATTCTCATGTTGACAACTATGCTCCGCTCAGTAGAGTAAAGATTGCCTTTAGATCAGTTTAGCCGAACAAGTGGTACCAGCTGTACGGCTGCAGGAAAGAAGTTATCAAGAAATATAGCCTAACGGGGCATTTTTGCATCTAACAATGCAGGGCATTGATTGATCTTGGTAACGCCAACCTCCGGCGCAAGAGCCAGGCTGCCAGTTTGAACTGATGGTGCATTCATTTCTTCGACATGCCCTAGCAAACATTTCCCCATCATGTAAAAGTGCTGGCTGCAAACGTTTGTGTTCTCTTGCAGCACTATGGCAACCTTCATGGGAATACTCATCATATCCCAGTCTATCCAATAAATCCATAGAGAAGACGACCTATCCCGTTATGCATGTCCGGAAATGTTGTATACCTTGACTTTGGTAACCCTGTCCTGTCATCAGGTAGAAACCTAGCAATAATTTAACTAACTTGATAATACATGTCCTGCCTAAGAGGTGCATAGCATAACTTCATTGTAGCGCTGGCATGGCAGATTACAGTGCACACATGTTGTTGTTGGCCACACGATTCTTCAGGGTTTTTTTCCTTTCACCCAGAAGGGCATCATCATGCTCCCTTCTGATGCCTCCTTAGACCTAAATTGGGAAGAAATGAGGAACCGTGTGCAGCCAAGGATGGAGTGTGTGTGTGTGTGTGTGTGTGTGTGTGTGTGTGTGTGTGTGTGTGTGTGTGTGTGTGTGTGTGCGCACACACGTACGTGTGGTGTGTGGGCGTGTGTGTATCTACGAGTGTGTGTGATCACTGCGCACTCCAGTTTGCTTATAGCACTGTCAACAAGGATTCCTACAAGGATTGGGTTGATCTCGTTTCCCATCGCTTACATTTCTGGTGCCGGGGCTGATTGTTTTGCCCGCTCAATCTTCTCCCTGAGGCGCTGATCGCGACGGAAGCCTTCGTGTAGCTTCTCCCGGTGTATTTCCCGCTCTATCACCTGTAACAGATGTACAACGGATATAAGTAGGACATGGCATAACCGACTGTTCTACTATATGTACATGTAGGTACCCTGGATCTTTAAAACAAACACACACACACACACACACACACACACACACACACACACACACGCACTCTATTCCAGTGAAGTACTGTGTTTTCTGGAGTGTAAGCTGCATTTTGAACACATTTTGAATTCACCCCAAAAAGGGGTTGCGGCTTATACTAGGATGATCAAATTACCTGTGATAAACAGGGTAGATATCTGTATTTCGTGGCAAAAATGGGGGGGGGGGGGGTGCGGCTTATACTCCAGTGCGGCTTATACCCCGGAAAATACGGTATTAAAAGGGGCAAATGGTCCAAGGACAACACGGGCCAAAACTCAGTCGCACTGCAATCTCAGCATATCTCCTACTTCAAGTAGAAAATTGATTATTAAAGGGGAAGTTAAGGCAAAAATCAAAATTTCACTAGTTGTAGTCTTTGGGGTGCTGAGTCGAATGGTCTTGGTCCGAGAAAGCTGAGACGCTCCCTTCCTACTTGAATCCCAATCGAACTCGCACACTTCCACCGAAACTGGGTGACTGCGCCCTACTAGATGGGGATTTGTATGCAAAATGTCACTAAAAGCGCCATTTCGTTCTTATAAAAGCACGGATGACCACAATTGGCCCATATGTTGTAGTCTTTTGGACGCTGAGTCGACTGGTTTTGGTCCGAAAAGGCTGCGATGCAGCGTTCCTCCTTTATTTCCAATCGAACATGGTTGAACAAGCGGTCACGTGCTCCTGGGTGCCCAAATCACCTGGTCACCACGCCAGCAGGCGACAACTTTCACACCAAGGTTCAACTCGAGTTCAACTCGAGTGACAGGACTGCACCCAAAAAAAGGTCGAACAGGCTAGTAAGTTGTACCCTGCAGGCACGGTGACCAGGTGACTGGTGTACGCAGGAGCACGTGACCGCTTGTTCAATTATGTTCGATTGGGAATAAAGGAGGAACGCTGCATCGCAGCCTTTTCGGACCAAAACCAGTCGACTCAGCGTCCAAAAGACTACAACATATGGGCTAATCGCGGTCATCCGTGCTTTTATAAGAACGAAATGGCGCTTTTAGTGACATTTTGCATACAAATCCCCATCTAGTAGGGCGCAATCACCCAGTTTCGGTGGAAGTGTGCGAGTTCGATTGGGATTCAAGTAGGAAGGGAGCGTCTCAGCTTTCTCGGACCAAGACCATTCGACTCAGCACCCCGAAGACTACAACTGGTGAAATTTAGTCAAACTAACACGTGCGCACTGCTATGCGTTTGCACTAAGCACTCACGGAGGCGTAGTAAGGCTTTTCTCCGGCATAGGGAGTGCTGAGGACGCGTGAGAATTCCATTACAGTGAGCGACCCGTCTCTGGCTCCCGTCGCCAGCATTTCTCCGTTTCCCTGGATCTTCACTGCTTGCAGTGCACTTTCAGATACCTGAAATGATTTGTGGCACAAATAAGGGCTGATCACACAAACACATCCTGCTTATTCCATGAAATGTTCAAAAATGAGCCCTGAGACCATTTAGAGATGCCACAGGCACTGAATTGAAGAGAATGAGGAAGAGAGACATCCTCCTATCTAGAATCCTCTCACACTCGCAGTCCAATAAAAATAGGCGTTCAAACTCCTCTGCCCTCCTTGGACATAATAAAGGAATGCAATCAAGTTTTCATGATACACATGTACTTCGTACAGTTACTACAAACTCATGTACTAGTATACCTTTTTGCTGGCAAAAGGGTTCTTCTGGTCCCTGCTGATGTCCCACACATCCAGCACCCCGTCAGACTTGGCCGTCATGAAGACGGCAGGTCGAGTTGGGCTCCAGCAACCATCCAACAGATATGCTTCGTCCAGCCTGTATAGTAGAATCAGACAATAAACAACAGAACAGCTGATGTGACCCACCTTGACCCCATTCGAATACAGAGTCAACAAGTCAACAAGCCACATGTTGCAAGAATGTATTTTTATACCAAACGCCCCAAGCAGAAGGAAATAGTTCCTAGTTCCTACCTAGACTGAAGAGAACTGCAAAACGCTTAGTGATGGGAAAGAAAATTCCATTTCCTATCAATGCCTAGGAGTCCCCCTGCATGCACACAGAGGGCTGAACAGATATGACTAACTCCTTGCAGCAACACACCTTGTAGACAAGAGAGGTGCCTCCTTGATGTCTTCGGACCAGATCTATTGCACACGTAGATACAGAAACATGCATGTATGTAAGCACACATGCAAACACACACACACACACACACACACACACATCTCAACTGCTATCAACACCACTAGTATCACCGCCGCCGCCTCCACCATCACACAGAGATGTGATTCGGGGCACTACTGACTACTGACTAGTGTTCGATGGGTCAAGTGTCAAGTGTGTTCATGATCTAGATCAGTCCTGGAATGGAAATTGAGACCATGCACAGCATTACAGATCGGCACAACAGACAGTGGACAGCCCAATAGACAGTCCACAACAGGACAATACAGTACACAGCACCATACACAGTCCACAGCGCAATCAACAGTCCATCACACAATAAACAGTCAGCAGCACAATAAACAGTTAGCAGCGCAATAAACAGTCCACAGCGCAATAGGCAGTTCACAGCACAATAGACAGTCCACAGCATAATAGACAGTCCACAGCATAATAGACAGTCCACAGCACAATAGATGGGGCACAGCACCATACCTAGTCCACTGTGCAATCAACAGTCCATCGCACAATAAACAGTCAACAGCGCAAGAAACAGTCAGCAGCGCAAGAAAGAGTCCACAGTGCAATAAACAGTCCACGGCGCAATAAACAGTCCACAGTGCAATAAACAGTCCACAAAAAAAACAGCAGAATAGAAAGCCCCCAGCATAATAGACAGTAGACAGCAGAAAAGACAGCCCATGGCACAATGGAAATAGACTGCTCAGTACAATAAGTTAGATAGTCCACAGCACAATAGACATCGCACAGCACAAAAGACAGTCCACAGCACTATAGCAGGTACAGAGCACCATAGACAATCCAGAGCACCATAGGCAGTACACAGCACAATACCGGTATACAGTACACAGCATAAGGCTGCATTCACACACGGTACGAACATTCGCGTTTACAGGACCGCACAAGCCACTTGCAACGCCTGTGCATTCACACAGTCAAATCCAGTGCATGCCAAATAGCCAATCACGTAAAAAAGACGCGCGTGACCGATGACGAAGAGCGGGAATTTTGGTTTCTGCACGAGCTGAGAGCACGGCGTACCGTGCGGCGCGGTGGCTCAAAATTTCAAATACATGACTGTACTGCTATTTCTTGGTCCGCTAGTATGATCTCGGTGGAACGTCTCCACAATTGTACAACTGGTGTGTTCGTCTGAGTTTGCTCGAGTTTGTTCTAGTTCGTCAGTCACGCTGACAATGGATGCCGTGATCAGATACAATGAGGGCAGGCAGCAGCTCTTTTCATCATAGTTCCACTTTTTTCTCACTGGTATTTTCCCCATAGTTCTATCAGCCGTAGCTCCACCTCAGCAGAAAAGACAACTCGAGGCATGGTACCGGACTCTCCAAAAACACAAAAACTCTGTGCACTCAACACACCAAACCACTCGTTTCAACTCGCCTGAAAACTAAAAGCCAAATCCGCTTTCAAAGCCGCCTTCAAAGTCGCTCCGGGATGGCTTAAAACGTTGATGTGATTTTCACGTGTCGCGCTTGTTTCCATGCCCAGTTCAAAGAACATGATGTTTGTACGCGGTTTTGTACCGTGTGTGAAAGCAGCCTTATAGATTGTGCACAGCACCATATTATACAGCACGCAGGGCAGTAGACAGTCCACAGCATAGTAGATGGTACAAAGCACAATAAATTGTGAACAGCACCATAAACAGTCCACGACGCAATAGACAGTCCACAGCATAATAGACAGTAGACAGCACAATAGACAGTAGACAGCACAATAGACAGTCCACAGCACAATAGACAGTCCACAGCACAAAGACTGTCCACGGCACAATAGAAATAGAGAGGAACGATGTTACACTGCACAATAAGTTTGGCACAGTAGGCATCGCACCGCACAATAGACATTCCATAGCACCATAGCAAGTGCACAGCACCGTAGCAAGTCCACAGCACCATAGACAGTCCAAAGCACAATAGACAGTCCACAGCACAGTAAACAGTCCACAGCACAGTAAACAGTCCACAGCACAGTAAACAGTCCACATCACAGTAGCAAGTCCACAGCACCATAGACAGTCCAAAGCACAATAGATAGTCCACAGCACAGCAAACAGTCCGCAAAGATATAGACAGTACACAGCACAATAGACAATCCACAGCGCGATAGAGCTGGGATCGACTTACATGACACATCCAACCGGCGATGCTCAGAAAGGTCTCTTTGGCAAGTGGGTTCCTCTGCAATAATCAGAAGAAAAGGATAATCTTGCATGCGGTGTGTTGAAATGGCTATCCTGTAGGAAGTTCATCTCAAGTTTGTTTCTGATAAGACGTCGCTAGCATTGAGGTGGTAAGAAGCAGCCTAAGTGAAGTGTGTTGTATTCTTCAATACTCTTCTTGGTGATAAAGGATTTCTTCTTGATGGTGGTGGTTAGTGGAGTGGCTCAACGTTGATACTCCTGAGTGTATGTACGTTCACTCGTATGTATGTCACCAATACATGCACTGTGTTGAACAAAAAAATAGACTTGTTCGATTTCTGGCGGTGACGGTCATTTTTTTCTTCAGTTTTTTTCCCCTTTTGAGTCCCTCAGACTCGTGAATGTAATAGACCTGTGAACAGAAATGATTCAGTGGTATGTTCAACTACGTTGTCAACCTGCTGGTATAGCGGCACCATGGCAATATCATGCATTTCAGAGTGCTTTCACTAGTCGTGTTGACGTTGTCGGATGCTCCGTGTCTTACCTGCACTGTGTGAACAGGTGATGTGTGTCCACTGAACATGTTCATCAGCATGTCTGCTGGGCTTTTCCCCTTCCGGTTACCAGTCAGGATTCGGCCCTGCTCAGTGCCCACCTTGAAGCGCGTGGACTGGATAAGAAGCAAGGTCAAAATCACGGTTGCCCGCACAAATAGTATTGATCAGCTTTGCGGAAGAAGGATTTGAAGCAGCATTCGGCCTTGTAAAAATTAGTTCACTTCAGCCAAATCACCAGCGCTGTACTAACCAGCCTGAAAGACCTATGATGTGATGATAATAATTATTATTACCAGTAATTTCATTAGTATCTCCAATGTAGTGCATTCCTTTTTTCTGCTAAGCACTTTGCACCAGATGTGCACAATTATGCTTCTCCTCTTCAGCACGAAAGGATTACATTCATCATCTGCTAGCCAGTTATCAATACATGTATAAGACGCACAACCTTCAATGATGGAAACTTCGTGAGATCTTGACGATTGAAGTTGGATATCTGATCGACCTCAACATGTCCTGCGATTCTGCTTAGTTTGCTGATGATGTGCCGTGGGAATGAGTCACTACACACGGTCAGCTGAAGAGCACAGTGGTGATGGGGTTAGTTGCAGTGGAATAGCTTTACTCAAACCATCTAAAAAGTTTGAAAAAGGGGCTCCGATTCCTGGCTCACCTGTGTTGGATCGTATTCAAGACATGTTCCTCCGTACTTGTCTTTGCCAAATCTCTCGTTACACAGCTCCAGGGTGGTGCACGGCTCCTTCATCTTGCGAACATCCCACCACATGACTGTGCCATCGGTTGACGTGGTGAAGAATTCAGTGCCTGCGTGAGTTGGATTTCACGGACAGACTTCGGTCAAATCACGGTGCCAGGTACTACCGCTGGTGTCATGCAACATATTCAATGGAAACTGTAGCTACAACCCGCAGCGCTGTACCTGCATAGCATGACCCATGCCCCCTCCCCCCCCCATCCCCATCCCTCTCTATTCGTCCAACCCAAACTGTTCTGATGCAGACCAGTGCTACTAGGCAGGCTGTGACTTGAAAGGCTACATCTTCTCCTCAAACAAAATACCCCTGAGTGCGCGGGCCACTGCCGGATGGTCTGAGTGTGCGAGACACTAGGTATCCAACAAGCTGTAGGAAGGCTTCCTGATGAATCTCGCCTTGCAATGAAACTCTCTGTAAGAAAACGCTTGACTTTTTGTCACCGGCAGAAATGGAGAGGGGGGGGGGGGGGGGTGTCATATATTGAATGTTACATGCAAGTGAACACAGACTCTGATGTGACGAGTTCTGCTTCCCAGCAACATGGTGGGTATGCCTGTACCTGATTTGGCTGAAAGGTAGATAAGCTGGCGGACGGCAAACTTGTGACTGTGGTCCAGGTCAGATACTTCTACGGGTTGAGAGCCTTTGCGCAGGTCCCAGAAAGCTGTTAGAAAGGAGAAAGAGGTAAGAGCACGAGGAAAAATTGATTCGAAAACCAAAGCCGGGTTGGGTATGATTGTCAGGATGGCCGATTGACCGTGTGCACAGTATCACCATGGTCACTGTGAAATCACCCATACACTCATCATTGACCGTGTGCACAGTGTCACTATGACATCATCCATATGTTCACAGTGTCACTGTGACATCCACTGTGTGCACAGTGTCACTGTGACATCATCTATACACTCATCAAGTTCTCTTCATTTCTGGGTGAAAGGGTGCCTTCAAAAACCCTTTGCCAGTGTTGACGCTTTGCAGATCTGTAGAACAGTTCACCGCCCATTTCATTCCCCAGGTTTCAACCGGTTGTTTACACATTCTGTGTGTGCCGCGCGTGTGTGTGTGCCGTGTGTGTGTGTGTACGTGTGTGTGTGCATGTGCGTGTGTGCATGTGTAAATACTGTATGAGTATGTCAATACAGTCAGTGCACTAGAAACCCTAATACTACATCAAGGTAATCAGCTGAACACTGCACGCATGCCGTCCATGGAAATAGAGTGAACGGCCTACAGTGTCCCATAGCATAGCTATAGCTACACTCACCAACTTGACCATTCAGGAGACCTCCCGCCAGCGAACTCATGTCCTTGGGATAGAAGTCCAGAGTTACTATGGGAGAGGGAGACTTGATCACAAAGTCAGGCTTCTTTGGGCTAGCTGAGTCCAGAGAAGAGAGGGAAACCAACAATGCACGAATACCGGAATAAACACGGTATGCCACAATGGCTGCACACCTTCCTGTCTCTAGGCACTTCAGGCACATGATCTGTATGCAAACCTGGCGTTATCTGAATACCCTCCAACTGCAAAATAGACTTTGGACTCTCAAGACAAGTGGAGGAATGGCGGATCAAGACAGAGACTTCTCACGGGTTGCGTCATGGTTTTATTCCGCGGGCATATACTTGACATACTCCTGCAGTGCAAGAAGATACTGATATGGCAGGGCGCGCGACTCCATCCAGGTTACTCACTCACGGACCATCTCGAGTTAATGCCATATCAACATGCTGCAATGCGAATGCATTGCCCAGCCAAAGACACGGCAATCATGCGGACCAAACAAATAACTTTAGGGAGCAACGAGACAAGCAAATGCCCACTGACAACAGTCAATACGGGCCAGTGGGGATTGAGATACCATCGATGCGGATTCAAAAGGTGAGGCAATATACAGCAGCACCGGCAGTCATGGCTTACAAATGTCCCAAACGTAGGAATCGTACTGCATGTTCTTCTCGCCACGCTGGAAGTCCACGATGGAGTGAGCGGCTGCTATTTTGAACGTGTTTGATTGGCTCCAACTGATGCTGGAAATAGGTCGACCAATGGAATGCAGATCCCTGGCGCAGAACACGAAGCAAAGGTGACAAGACTGGCCCATTACCCTCCCAACATGAAGACATAATGTGATCTGTATCATGATCTGACAAATTTGTTTAGCTATTCATATTGATAATGGAGCCTGTCACCATTGTGGATCTTAAAATACATGAAATATGATATTGTTGGGACCTTATCTGCACCACCGGCGGCATGTGTTTAACATAACAACGCTAGATACATATCTATCCAGTGACTCCTGGTTGCACTTTGCACACTGGCAAGTGCACTTCCACACACAATGCGTCACTAGCTGCAGTGCAGTACTATAGTGCATGCTGGCTCACTTGAAGGTGTTGACGACCTTGATCTCCGCTGGACCATCCAAGAAACCCGACTCCTCCGGGAAATACTCTTCATAGATGTCTATTGAGTTGTTCTCCTTGATCCCATACTCCATTGTCTGCAGGCAACGCACGTAGAGCATGGCACTGTGAGCACATCCACTTCTACTACAACTTTTGACCAGTCGTCTTTATCAATGTAGCGTGTCAGGCTGATTTCACATGCATCACATTTAGTTACCAAGTTACATTGGCCCGTCAGCGAGGCCAAACACATCACACTGTAGCTAGTGAAGGGACAGAACACTCCTGTACGTGTTACTCTACATGTACATGTGTATGTATATCAGTCGTCTATGAACTCCCGTATATATATATATATATACCTGGCCGGCCCTTGGCACAGCCTCCCGGTACCAATGTCAGCTGCATGCGCCGAAGCAGAAAGGGCAATGCATGATTTCTAAAGTGAGAGGATGACGCGCCCAGCTGGCCCTTACCCTGCACAGATTCTGCACAATCTGTATGTACTCCATGTCCTTCTCCACTTTCTTACGGAAACGGATCATCGGCTCTGCTTCGGAGATGTTGATGTCTTTCGGCCAGCCACCCTCCACGTGGTTCATAGCCCTGCTCTCAACCTTCACGTTCTCTGTGTTTGTCTGCAATGGATAAGTCAACATCAGGACAAGTGATCCTTTTTAAGATCCCAGCAGCTGAGCTCAGTGTACCGTGCGTGTAGCCGGTCCGGTACTCGCACAAACCAACAGTATGACGTGCCTTTTCTTGCGAATAACAATTCTCAACAATTCTCCTCTTCAATCAATCTTGCCCCGGTACGCGGTGGCCACCTAATGCTCTGTGTGCAGTAGGCCCCAACGGTTCAGGAGTCCGGACCCGCTTCGAGTGAGCTATTAGCCTATGTTCTGTGTCTCTGTCCATGGGCCTGAGCAATAATTATTGCAATGCCGTACCACAATTGGCACTGGGATTTCACTGAGGTGGTCCGGCCAAATGGTTTACCGTATAATTGACTGGAAATGAACTTCATTCATGAAAACCCCTGTTTTGCACGAATTGGGCGGGTCAACGTTTCCGAAATAAGGTCCAGCCATGGCCAGACTGGACGCCTGGGTGATACGGCCCTGAATCATATCCCATAAACTTTTTTCGAGAGTATACGTTTGATCTGTTTCCGGGTCATGTAGATCTCCAACCAGTTTTGTCACATTATGTCCTCGTCTCGCTGGTCCTAGCTGCACATTCCCCATACGATGGCTGGCTTACCTCGTTTGTCGACATTTCGGTGCCTTTCTGTGTAGCGGCATCGACAGGATTCTTGGAGATGTAGTCCTGCACGATGATGGACTCATCCGCTTTCACGTCGCCTTTCCTGTCCTGGACATCATCCTGGTCCCTGAGGCGTAGAGGCCTGCCGAACTGGCGCAGCATCCGGGCATAAACGTGCACCGTCTCCATTATTTATACGCCAGTGGGTACAGTGCCTCTGCTCGAAATGGAGATAGTAATGGAAATGGAGATAGTATTCGATGCCGCTACCCGTTGACTTGGAGAGCTAGTCGTCCGCCAGAGCAAGAGCTGGGTGCCGGTCAGGCTAGGAAAGCTAAGCAACGACTTCCGTCGCAGTGCTTCCTTTCCAGAGCGACTGCTTTGACGGTTTTTTCCAAGGAAGACCCACCAACTAAAAAATTACTTTGTGGAAGCGGACAGAGTCAACAGCATTTACACAGCCGCCCGGTGTACTGGCGCACCAGTGCCACCACCATGACCACGCACGCAGCGTGCACAAGATTTGTAGACGTCGACTCTCCATCACCAAGTAACACCATGTTTCCGTACCGCAAAGTGTGAGTGTGATTTCTATGAAGTATGACTATGTCTAGTATGTGTATGAGTGACTATGTCTGGCCGAGACCGAGTCAGACTGCTCAGACAGTAGACTCTCGACCACAGAGTAGAGTCCAACAGATTCAGCTACATGACATTGTATTATTCGACTCATTATCAAGCATTACGTCATTAGTGATGGGTCACCATGGCATTGGCATTGCCATGCAAGACAGACTCAGTGACATTATTATGACGGTATGACGGTATGTGTCTGTGTAGTCTTATCTACCAATACCAATACCATGGTGTACAGTCACGGTATGTGGTTGTGGTGGGTGTGGTGTTTTTATTTAATTTTATTTGGGGGTATGTGCCATCAAGACTGAAAGGAGTACACAAACCCGCTTTATGTACTCTTTGTGGAGTTTGTGCGTAGTCCCTACCCCCCCCCCCCCCACACACACACGCCTGCTGGATAGCTGCTGTCGTCCCTACATATTCTTTCCTCCCATGCAGAAGTCACTTGCGCAACGTATGTGTTGTTGGCATAAGCCTGCACGGACTGGGCATGACTGCAGTTTGGGGCTAGGGCAAACCAGCAGGTTCTCAATCTTGATGCCGGTTAGTTTTATGATAGTAGCCTGGTCTACTATGTGGAGACAGTGTGGGTTTGAGTGAGCAGCCCCCCCCCCCCCCCCCCGTGCCAACCAACCGTGTAGTCTGACCCCATAATACCAGGACAAGCAGCTTCAGAAACATAACAGCACCGTGGCACAGTGGATGCTGCCTTCACACATTCTACAAGGCACACACATCATGCGACGATGTCCGTGGCCGGGATGTCCGGGATCAAGGGAAGGAGTCTGGTGTCCGGGATCAAGGGAAGGAGTCTGGACACGGATTTACTTTTAAACTTGAACTCATCAAAATAAGAAGATAAGAAACCAATGATTATACAACGTAGATGAACTGCGGACATCATCGCTGCCGTAATCAGTAATGGCAGAACAGAACATGACACTGGATTAGAACAGCTGATATAATATGTGCCTGCGTATATATTTGAAGTAGAGTAGCTCATGATGAGGTGTGCGTCCACAAAGTAAGAAGGCTCGATTGCTGCAAAGCAGTGTCAAGACAGTGAGTGGATAACAAGCTGCTCTGAACACTCTGCTTTGCACCGACAGAGGGCACATGCTCCTAAATGAGATAATATGACAGTATGGCAGCATAGTGGTGTTGCGTGTGATGCCAAAGCCAGGTCCAGTGGTGGTGGTGGTTGACTGGCTACACTGCAGCTTCTCAGGCATAGCAGTGTTTAGAAGCACTTGCGGTGGACAATGCTAGGACCGGACTCGTCATACTCCTGCTTGGAGATCCACATCTGCTGGAAGGTGGAGAGCGATGCCAAAATGGAGCCACCAATCCACACAGAGTACTTTCGCTCTGGCGGGGAAATGACCTTGATCTTCATCGACGGTGGTGCCAGGGCAGTGATTTCCTTCTGCATCCTGTCCGCAATTCCCGGGTACATGGTAGTACCACCGGATAGGACGACGTTAGAGTACAGGTCCTTGCGGATGTCTACATCGCACTTCATGATACCGTTATAAGTGGTCTCGTGGATACCAGCCGATTCCATTCCCAAGAAGGCTGGCTGGAACATGGCCTCAGGGCAGCGGAATCGCTCGTTGCCAATGGTGATGACCTGACCATCGGGAAGCTCGTAGCTCTTCTCCAGGGCGCTGCTTGAAGAAGCGGTCTGCATTTCCTGCTCAAAGTCCAGGGCAATGTAGCAGAGCTTCTCCTTGATGTCGCGGACAATTTCACGCTCGGCAGTGGTGGTGAAAGAGTAACCACGCTCAGTGAGGATCTTCATGAGGTAGTCAGTCAAGTCACGGCCGGCCAGGTCGAGACGGAGGATTGCGTGGGGCAGAGCGTATCCTTCATAAATAGGTACTGTATGTGTAACACCATCACCGGAGTCCAGAACAATACCGGTGGTGCGACCAGATGCATAGAGGGAGAGGACAGCCTGGATGGCGACGTACATAGCTGGCGTGTTGAATGTCTCAAACATGATCTGCAGAGAACCAAAAGAGAAACAGGCTCCTACCTCAGTGCACTGTGTATGGGTAAATTAAAGCTAACTTTGTTCTGCAGTCTCAGAGTTTACATGAGCTGCGAGGGTGTTTTGGGATATCCATGTAGTTCAATGCCTGCCAACTAATAAAGGGATTCAAAGGAGCATGTCTTAACTGCAAAACATGCATGCGGTCACCCATCTTAAGGTAGTGTACATCTCAAATCATGCAGTTATGTCAAACACGTATTTCTACACACCGAGATAATGTTCATTGTAAACTTGAGCCTGATACTTCAAAAAATCAGTAGTTGAGGGAAAAGTGAATAGGGACAAAAGCGGCTTGAAGAAATGCTGAAGTTCACACTTTAAACTTGTTGTGCTGTATTGAGCCATACCTGTGTCATCTTTTCACGGTTAGCTTTTGGGTTGAGTGGTGCCTCAGTCAACAGAACTGGGTGCTCCTCCGGGGCCACGCGCAGTTCATTGTAGAAAGTGTGATGCCAGATCTGTGCAGTGCAAACGGAAAAACACAACACAACATGCGGAGTGGACTGGTTTGAGGGGATCCAATAAGCCGTGGGATTCTATGATGATAAAACACTCTGAGTCAAATGACTAAATCTGACGAATCATCATAATCTGCATACATACATGTACATGTGTACATGTGTACATGTGACGTTGTGCATGTGTCGGGTTCCCTGGCAAGTTACTAGTACATGATTGTACTTCAAGTACTTTGAAGTATACTCTGTAAATCAACTAATTTTCGCTGGCAATTTAAATTTGGCTGATTTCGCCACTTGCTGCCAACCGGCCAAAGTAAATCGCAGGTCAAAGTTTGTCACAGAGGCAAATGATGCTTTTAGTTGAGCCATGGCTGCATGTGAGAGTACCAACAACTGATCGAATTTCTTTTTGAACCCCCCCCCCCCCCCATCGGCCAAAGTTTGATCACAGCAAAAGGTTTCATTTCCAGATCGGCCAAAGTTTTTCATCGGCTAAAATTTGTTGACTTTTTATGGTGAGTAGTTGGGATGGGACCCAAGTGCCATACCTCACTCACCGGGATACCATTGAAGAAGTCAGCACTGTAGCTGCATGCTGGGTGAGGGGTAGGGATATGATACTGACATGTTCATACACTGATTTTCATAAGCGAACAACAAAATGAACACTATCCTGCGACCATGGTAACCGTGAGCAGGTCGAGTTCTAGCCGAGCCAAGTTGCCATGGCCCTGAGCCTGCACGAGTTCATTGGCCAGTCTATGCTGTTTGGATGCAACATCAAGTAACGGTTACGTTTAGTTGTTATGCAGTTATCTACATGATTGTACAATGTAGCTGCAGCTGGCCACACCTGATGAACAGGAATGAAGTGCAGTGATGCCCAAACCCTAAACTAAAGATTCATTTGTAATATGAATAATTATCTACCTACATGTACATGTACAGTCATGTACTGATGTAAGTCCTTTGCTTCTCTCGCCTGGCTAGTGGAGTAGTGCTCATCATCTCAACAATCATGGCATTTTCCTTACTAATACTACTGCATGTCGGAACCTACTCAGCACATGCCGGTTGATGCCATTAAATAACAGCTAATAGAAGCACCCCATACGCGAAGTGAGATGTGGGACCGTTCAGCGTTGACACGGTATTCTTGTTTGTGTTTGGGACAGATTGCCTGATTTGTAACACTAACAGCACACTGTGACTTGGCACTTCGAAGTACGTGTACCACAGAGTGAAGGCGTATGCACCTCGGCCCAGTTTTGCTGGTGGTCTCGCCGTGTGAATGCAACTGAACACCACATGCATAGCCAGACTCCAGAGACGTCGTTATGACTTATGAGATTAGTTGACCGAAACATGTACATCATGCATGTTGTTGTTGTTCATACCTTCTCCATGTCATCCCAGTTGGTGACGATACCGTGCTCGATGGGGTATTTCAGGGTCAGGATACCTCTCTTCGACTGGGCCTCGTCTCCGACGTAGCTGTCCTTCTGGCCCATACCGACCATCACACCCTGGTGGCGGGGACGGCCGACGATGGAGGGGAAGACGGCACGGGGAGCATCATCTCCAGCGAAACCAGCCTTGCACATTCCACTGCCATTGTCTACGACAAGAGCTGCAACATCTTCATCACACATGATGACCGATTGAAGGTGAGAGAATCTTTTTTTTTTAAATGAAGGCGAAGAAATGACCTAGACTAGAGACCCGACACAAGCGATCTCGGTCGACTTTGCAAATGCACACCCCTTCTGCCATGTCGCTCAACTTTAATCCCCCTCGATCTACCTTCGTCCGCTGCCCTCTGAAGTCTGATGGAAGTAGTAGCAGTAGCGGCTCTAGTCTAAGCTGTAAGTGTAAGACTTGGTGTAAGTGTCACGGTAGTGAACGCGCTGCACTCGTACGACTGTGCTCGGGTGCGACCGTTCTCGGAAGCGACCATCCCGCATCACGACGTGTGGCTATGGAATAGTGTGATGCATGCAGGCGACTATGTTACTTGCACTGCCAGTTGCACGAGAAGCAACGAACATCAGGGCCACTAATGCTGCACGAATTTATGTAGAAGACCACGAGACCCAAGCAACAGTTACTGGTCGAGCGGCATGCAGACTGTCTTGAGTTGTGGTAACCTGCGGCGACTGATCTCCAGCATGGAGGCCAGGGCCGGGTAGCGCTCGAGTCGAAGGTGTCCAGGGAGTCAACCAGGGTCAACAACTATGCTATGCACACGTACACTAATGTCATGGCCCGGCCTTGATTCTGCATGAGTGTCAGGCACGCGCGTTGTTCATGTTCAAAGCCGTAGAAATCTGATTCTAGCGTTAGTCGCGGAAGAGGCACTGGCAGAGATGTTTGGGAAGAGGCAGGGGATGTTCATGATGTTTAGGAAGTGGCTGGGTTCACCTGAAACCACTAACTGGTTGAATGCATAAATTACATGCTTTGTCAACGCCCGCCCGCGGAGTCGTCGAATCGGTGCGACACACCACGACCACCACCTTCCTAGTACTACGTGTAGTACCACCTTTCAGTTCTACTATTCTACTGTACGTACTGGCACCTTCCTTGCAGTTTGCTGGCTCCCCGCACTTCCAAAACTGACTCGCAGCGCTCGCCAGACCGTATTCGGTCTTGCATGTTAGAACTAAATGAACAAGCGCCACTGCTCCTCACAATCATTGAATCAACATCCTCAATACAAAGCTATTCTCCACTAGTACTAGACTCTACGCTCATTGCCTTAGTTTTGTCTCTTGGCTATACTGTGTACTAGTACTGCATGTAGCTGTTGTCGCATTACTATACCGTGTTATACCGCACCCTCTCGTTTCTTCACCCTTGCATGCGTGTTGTTGACTACTCTCTTTGTGCTGTTGTTATCACATCACAACTGTATTATGCAGTTCGTTTGCAGCTGACACTGTGACAGATCAGATCAGCTTCTTAGCTTCTAGGATGGCATCTCTTGCTGTCCCACTTTGACCTTGAAGTTGGAGCCTCCGCTTGCGCGAATGCTGCTGTGCTACAGTGCATGTCCCACGGTAAACTGGGTCGTGTATGTGTCATGATCCACAAGTAAACGTCCGTTTTTTTTTAAAGTAATGTGTTGCAGCGATCGAGTCATGAGTCATAGTAATCATAATAAATAATAATTTAATAATTACAGTAATCAGACTCAGAGGCTTCATTGTGAAGTGCAGTAGACTCAAGTCAGAAATAATTATTCAAATAGCAGAGACGCAGGGCTTCACAAGCTTGATGGCCACCTTTTACATAAACGGAGGCCAGAACTGCAGCAGAAGGCTATACATGTATACATGTAGCTGTGAGTAAGAAGAATGCCCAGTGCAGTGCACTCTGAAGATGGCTTGTCATAACCAGGGAGTAGAATATTATTGTACTACTCCCTGGTCATAACGATTCACAATACATAATTGCGGACGACAATATGTTCGACGGAGGACATTACGGCCCTTCTCCAGTCCGTTGACGCGTCAAAAGCAACTGGACATGATGACTTGCCGGGTATTGTCCTTAGAAACTCGGCATCAATACTGGCTCCCTCGCTCAGCATCATTTTCAATACTTCGTTATGTCAGGGGTGTGTTCCCCGTCAGTTTAAAATTGCTAATGTGTCGCCGCTATTCAAAGGTGGCGGCCTTGACCCTTGTCAGCCTACTGCGTATCGACCTATTTCTCTACTACCAGTCGTTTCTCGCCTCCTCGAGAAGATCGTCAAAGCTCAGCTTACATCCTTTCTGACCGATCACAGTATTCTCCCTGACTCGCAGTTCGCGTACAGGAAGAACCACAGTACGGAGGACGCTCTTGTGCTAGCTGTCAATCGCTGGCTGAAAGCGAAGTATGAGCGCAAACTCACAGGTGTGATATTCGTGGATATGTCGAAGGCTTTCGACTGTGTCAAACACACCATCTTGGCACAGGAGCTATCCGACATTGGGGTCGGCGGTACTGTCCAGATATGGTTCACTAGTTACCTGAGTGAGCGGCTTCAACGCGTAGTCGTGGGCGGAAATTGCTCGGAATACGTCGCATGCAGTCGAGGGGTGCCGCAAGGATCCGTCCTCGGCCCCCTCCTGTTCACACTATACATCCGTAACCTTCGATGCTGCTTGCCCCAGCAGGTCACAAACCAGGAATTTGCAGACGACATTGCAATTGAAGCCTCGGGCAGTTGCGAACAAGTGTGCTCTTCTCTAAGCACAGCCATCACTGGCCTGTCGCAGTGGTTGGAGGACCGCGGGCTAATGCTGAACCAAAAGAAAACGCAAGCTCTGTTGATTACCCCAAGAGGCCCAGCCCCTGACACAGATAACATTCGAATTCGCTGTGGGAATGCAGCCCTTGCAGTTGTGGAACAAGCGCGGTACCTGGGCGTAATGGTAGATGGGCAGCTCTCCTGGGAGCCTCACGTCAATCACACAATCCAGCAGGTGCGGAAGTCAGTAGGTGCGCTGTGGCGGAGCCGCCGAAGCCTCACCCTGGCGTCAAAGATCCTGTTTTACAGGTCGATGATCCAGGGTAGGTTGTCGTACGCTTCCAACGCCTTTTATCCGTCACTTCAAATTGGCAACATGGAGCCCCTCACACGTCTAACGAAGTGCGCTATCCGCGGCTTCTTCGGTCTGCCACCGTGGTCGCGCACGAGCCCGATCTTTGAACAGCTCCGCCTCACCACCCTGGAGGACATGTTTAACATTAAGCTCCTCATCTTTGTCCGTCGTTGTCTGTTCTCCCGAGCTAGCTCCCTCTTCACCAGCTTCTTCGTGAGAGTTACTGGTGACCGCACTCGGGGAGCAGCACATCACCTCGTTCGAGTACCATTTTGGCCCGGTCCTGCGGGTCGAGCGACCATGCAGTTCATCGGCGCAGTCCTGTGGAACCAGCTCCCGCCTGATCTCCGTTCCGAGCCCAGCCACCTTCAGTTCTGTGCCCTGCTAAAAGCGCATCATGGCTCCGTTTAAATGCTTTTCGGCTAGTGTGTTTCTGTGGTATAGCGGACTGAAGAATAGTAAACGTGTTTTGCAATATATGTATGAAGCTATTTTGTATATAGTATGTTCCCATTCCGTTTTTGCTTTGGTGTAGCCCTGAGGTTGATTGCTTATTTATTTCTACCCTCCTCTCTCCATACTTCTGTCCCCCCCCCCTCTCTCTCATTCCTTCTGTCGTCCACATGTATCAAAGGAGGCGAAATCGCCTGTTTGTGGTGCGACGTTAAATAAACTTCTACAACAACAACAACAACCTTGTCACGCCCATTTATGTGCTCTCTCGAAAGCGTCCAAATATTCAAAATTGGTTACTTTTCTATCTGGTCACCAATGGTCAATCCTTCGGTCAGTTACGTTTTCGGTTTTCAACAGGGTTCTTTTTCCCGCAGATCTATCTGTAACATATTCAGTTACCTTCGGTGACTTCTTTCACTTGTGATTTTTTCTCCTCCCCTCCCCATTACTATTATCATCATTAAATTTGTCATGTCGCTCGCATGTATAAAAGAAGGCGCCATCGCCTGTTTGTGTTGCGACTTTAAATAAAATTCAACAACAATATGAGGCCTCATAATCAGCCTCATATCAGGCTGCAGCCTACAAGTGTACTTAGTGCAGGGTTTCCACCGGGATGTCGGACTGTGAGTCTGTACGAAGTGCTAACTCTAACGAGTTAAAGGGGAAGTATACCCTAAAATCAAATTTTCACCAGTTGTAGTCTTCGGGGTGCTGAGTCGAATGGTCTTGGTCCGAGGAAGCTGAGACGCTCCCTTCCTACTTGAATCCCAATCGAACTCGCGCACTTCCACCGAAACTGGGTGACTGCGCCCTACTAGATGGGGATTTGTATGCAAAATGTCACTAAAAGCGCCATTTCGTTCTTATAAAAGCACGGATGACCGCGATTGGCCCATATGTTGTAGTCTTTTGGACGCTGAGTCGACTGGTTTTGGTCCGAAAAGGCTGCGATGCAGCGTTCCTCCTTTATTCCCAATCGAACATGGTTGAAGAAGCGGTCACGTGCTCCTGGGTGCCCAAATCACCTGGTCACCGCGCCAGCAGGCGACAACTTTCACACCAAGGTTCAACTCGAGTTCAACTCGAGTGACAGGACTGCACCCAAAAAAAGGTCAAACAGGCTAGTAAGTTGTACCCTGCAGGCACGGTGACCAGGCGACTGGTGTACGCACGAGCACGTGACCGCTTCTTCAACCATGTTCGATTGGGAATAAAGGAGGAACGCTGCATCGCAGCCTTTTCGGACCAAAACCAGTCGACTCAGCGTCCAAAAGACTACAACATATGGGCCAATCGCGGTCATCCGTGCTTTTATAAGAACGAAATGGCGCTTTTAGTGACATTTTGCATACAAATCCCCATCTAGTAGGGCGCAGTCACCCAGTTTCGGTGGAAGTGCGCGAGTTCGATTGGGATTCAAGTAGGAAGGGAGCGTCTCAGCTTCCTCGGACCAAGACCATTCGACTCAGCACCCCGAAGACTACAACTGGTGAAAATTTGATTTTAGGGTATACTTCCCCTTTAACGAGGAGAAATCTGTCGTTAACATAGAAATCGTTATACAGAAATCGATACATATACTGTCCTATTGAGCGTTGAGAATGAGTAAGAATCGTTACCTAGCTACGTAAACTAGTCAATTTTGGGAAATCGTTATAATAATACCGGTACATTATCAGATCATTGTCTTTCTTTATTATTTTCGAGCTGGGAATGTG